TACTCCTGTATAAAACCTAGTTTGTCAATGAAAATCACTTCAGGAAAAGGAAGACAAATTAGTAAAAAAAAAAAAAAAAAAAGAGCATCACAACACTGCTGGATATAATGGTGATGGGGGGAAGGGGGGGCTGGACCCCCCACACACTCTAGAATCGCCCCTGCTCGTGTGATGATGCTGTTGTATTTGGTGTGCTGATCTTCTCTTTAAAACATGATAATGTATTCTTATATAAGACAGACTGTTATACATGATGTCCCTGCAGCAGTAGAGGTCTTAAACATGAGAGACCTCCTGATGGTCCGGGACGGTGAGCTGTCACATCTGACTCCTATTGTTGTCCAGCTGTCCCGGATCAACTGGTGATCTCAGGCCGACACCGACACCTAGCACGGCCTGCTTTCCTTCACAAACACCGGCATCATATCTGGACTAAATCCGTCCATCAATCCCCCTCCCCTCCTCCGAAAACCACCAAACAAAACCCCCCTCAGCTCGCCCACCTGGTTGAGCTCATTCTCGGCCGCAATCCTCAGATTGGGGTCGATGGTCCCCTTCAGGGCCTGGATAATCCGGTTCGGATCCATGTGTGTTTAATTCCTTTCTGTGTTTGTATTATCACATAGCATGTAGCGTTAGCTTGTGTTGTATTCAGCCTCAGTCCTCCCAGAGCGGAAAAACTACAACTTCCGGTCAGCCCGTGCAGCAGCAGCAGCAGCAGAAGAAGAAGCTTGTCAACGGAAAACTCGTTAAATGTGTGGGGTTTTTTTTAAAGTCGCTGCCTCGCGCTCATCGTGAAGGCTGAGTTGTTGTTTTCACCGTCAAACTGTTTGCACTATCTTAACGGTGAACGGAGGCCCGGCCCTGCCCGGCGGCAACCGACGGTGGGAGGACGTAAAGCCAAGTAAATAGACAAATTACGGTATTACGCTTCTTCTTCTGTGAATTAAAAAGCGGCTATCAAACCAGCTCAAATGCTCCATACCGCCTCCTGCTGGACGACAGTTTGACTTGTTTGGTTTATGGCGATTATTTAATGTTTACAGTCTTATGTTATCTACATACGACATATTGTGTTTATGTAGAACAAAGAGGTTGAATTTGTCTTATCTTATTTCAACATTAGAGATTGAATTTATATTCATATATGTAGATAATCTTTGAAAATTAATTAATTATTTTTAATCTTATTTAGTTTAATTTATTTGAAGTGCTTATACATATTTATATTCTTGTTTTCTGGTCAGTTTGTCTTATGTTGTTTTTTAAATTTGCTGGTTGGACTAATTCCTGAAAGTGAGAACACCTGTTTGTTTATTGATAATGCTGAATAAGGAATGAAAAATAAAGTAATTTTCAATATTGTCCAAATTGTTAATGAATTTGATTGAAACAGAATATTAACTTAGAATTGAAGCCATGAGACTTTAAATTAATTTATTAGTTTTCATTTGATTTCTTCTCAAATTGTAGTCCCAAACATTCATTTCTATTTTAAGATTCACTTTCATTCAGAAATGTGTTGAAGCTGAATTAATTTAGCTTTAATAATGAACTACATCAACATTCAATCATAAACTGCAGCTCTTCTACAACTGAACTATTTTATCTTACTATTATCTCAGTTGAATGTTTTTAGGTTTCCTGGGAAGACCAAGGTGGATTTAATTCTCCTTTTAAGCCATTTTAATGTTTGTTTATGGATGCAAACACAAACACTCATTCCTTTAATGTGTAAACCTTTTTGATAATGAAAAAGATTCTGGTTTTAAATCAAACAAAGTCATAAAAACTTAATCCGAGATAGATATTAATGATCACATTAAAAACAGGTGGGTTATGTTTTTTGCTCTCTTATAATACTTTATGCATGTATCTGTATCAGCACACACCCAAAGTTTAAAGTAACAGATGCATGTCCTATGTGAAAATGTATAATTGTAAAAGCTGGAATAAATGAAAACATCAAGATAAAGAAGCCAAACGTCACTGCTCATCTTTTATTTAGGCACATCGAGGGACCACATCTCTCCACAGTAGTCTGTTAGTGCAACAATTCGGCCTCAAGTGTTCAACACCACGTCACACCACCACCAAGAACACACTCCGTCAGCTTCACATTCACACAGCGAGGCCAGAGGCAATCATTATTCATCCATTCAGTTCATTGATATATCTGATCAGTCATCCAAAGCCATTCAAAAAGGAAAGAAGGCACAAACTCATAACATGTCTGTGACCTGAAGAGGTGACCTCCTGAGGTACGAGTCACAGTAAGAGGTCACGTTTTCAAGGTGTTTGTTTATCTGTCATAGCAAGCACCGCCATGAAGAACGACTCATCCATGGGGAATCAGGTGCGTTGGTAAACCTCAATAAGTCACAGAATTGATCTTTAGGCAGCAGACGCACCTTTTGAAACGGGTTTGCGCGTGAAAAAAGTGAACTGGCATGCAGCCTGACCATGAGAAGATCAATTTGATCCTCTCATTTAGTACAAAACCATCAGTCCACACGTGGAGGGAGGAGCGCCATTTGACCAGAAGTACTTCAGTCCTGGTATAGCAGAAAGCCAGAGAAGGTGCTGTACTTCCAGGTGCTGCCATAGATGGCGCCGCGATGCAACCTGAGCCACACCTGGTCTCCCTGGAAGAGCGGCAGGATGGCGTGGTTGCTCGCCGTCTCGTGATCCGGGGCGCCGTCGTTGGCGTACGCCGACACCATCACCTCCTCGTTGCACATGAGGTTGATGTAGAGCGGCACGTTGATGGCGAGCTTCAGGATGTGGAAGATGAAGACGTAGGTTCCGTTGGCGGGGCAGGTGAAGCGCCCGATGTGGGTGTCGTACATCTCCCCCAGGTTGCTGTGCAGCTGGTCGAACACGATGGGCTGGTCCAGGTTGCCCGGGGCGAAGTTGGCGGTGCGGGAGGCGGTGAAGGCGACACGCAGAGGCTGGGTGAGCGGGTAGAGCTGCATGGGGAGCAGGGCGGGGTGGTGGTGGCCGTGGGGGGTGAGGGGGACCTCCACTGTTGAGACCGACAGGGAATCCCCGTGACCCGAGTCCACGATTGTAAAGGCGCCCTCGCGGTCTGGGCTGCTCACTTGGGACGAGTCACTCCAGGCGGCTGCAAAAATGAGAAAACATATTTCCAAACCCTTGATTGTAGTTTTGCATATTTAGAGGCTAATGAAATCAAACTATACCGCTCGTGTTGTGCCTCCCTCCTCGTCTGTAGCCGTGATGGTAACCAGAGTCCTAAAAAAACACAACATGGAGATCGACACAAGTTATGTGAAACAAGAATTCTGAAATCCATACAAAGATAGATACGAGATTAGACATGAGCAGCACACATCAGGCTATAGATCAGTCAGGCTTTGGAGGGCTCCAGTCTCAGCCCTCGGTCTAAATAAATATCTGTTTAACAGTCGTCACTGGAATTAAAAACCGGTGACTTGAAGTGGAAGCCTCAGGGCGGCAAAGGAAGCAAAGCACTCTGGGCCACACAGCTCAATCTGCAGTAGTGGTGGGCCAAAAACCAGTTTCAGTACCGTCATGCTCAGAAACTGGCCTTGTCCACACATACGAGAGTCATTTTGCAAACTTAGCTTCTTCTGTGTGTTTTGACCTTTTGTACACAAATTCTGTTTTAGGTCACTGAAAACTAAACTTCAGTAAAACGCCTTCCAGGGTGAAGATGTTCAGAAACTCTGTTTAAAAAAAGGTAGTGGTACTTGGCCTTCTTAATCCTCTTTTACTAAAATATGTGTGGGAAACACAGTGACATGACTTATTTCTGCTGACAAAGAATAATTTCTGCTGACAAGGTTTTCCTTTTTTAAATAATTACTTTGGATTTGTGTCCCCCCCCCCCGCGAGTAGGACCTAAAAGAACCACAACTAGTCCCAAATGAACCACATGTGGCTCGAGAGCCTCGGGTTGAGTATCACTGGTTTTGTATAGACGGGGAAAACAGAGTCTTGTTCTTGTAAAGAAAGACGACTTTGGTCATGGCTCCCCTCCCCTATCCAGCTACTTCGTGACCAGTGGCAATTATCAAGACCCTAAGACCCCCCATGCAAGTCTCATTTTTGGAATAGAAACCCCTCCATGATGCACGGAGTTGAACCACCAGCAGGTTCTCCAACATCTGGGCTTTCTAATGCCAAAGTAGCACACCTCTGGTTTCTTATTCATTGTCCATGGACACCCCAACAAAATGTTTTCAGACTAATGGGCAAAGAACAATCTCTAAACGGCAAATTCTAATAACTTACTGGGTTGTAAACACGACACCCACTCACACTAGTCACCATACTCTCTCAAACCCTCTACATAAGAGTAGTAAGTGATTACTTACTCGAGCAGCATAGAGAAGAGGGCCAGAGTCCCTGAAATGACTCTGGGGGATGTAGGATCCTAACAAGAGACAGAAATCAAGAAGTTTCCGGTCAGCCCAAACTACTGTACACATCACAGATCCAAAGAGAGAGGAGGAAAAGCCAAAGAGGGAAACCCCTGAGAGAGAAAAGAAAAGTGGAGGATAGATACCTCGATGCCACCCAGAAGAGCGAAAGGTGTGTGCCGGTCCTTTGCCTCCACGCGCCATACCTCTTACAGATCCTCTGTTGTAGTACGACTGGCCGGCTCGACTCACGCTGCCACTCGACTGGCCAGGGGAAAGGTAGATCTGTCCGCTATTACTCACAGGGTAATCTGATGCATAAACTAAAGAGATGATGGAGACACAATGAGCCTCAAATTCTCAGAATTATTTAAGGACCCTAAATATCTGAGAAACATACCGGGCTGGAGTTCGTCTTCCGCAGGAGCAAACTCAGGAGGGGTCTGGGTGCTAGCAGTGTTGTACCTGGGCTCGACAAAAGCTGCACAGTCTGGTTTGTAGTCCCCGTTCTGAGGTAGGGAGGCACTCACCTTGAAGACCTACGGTGAGAAGAAAAACATCCCAGACGTGAATCACTGTCCACTTGAATTTTAAGAATTTAGTTATTTTGCAAGACACAGACCATTACCAGATTGTAATCTCCTACATATTTCTGTTTTTAGAAAAAATATAAATCTAATTGTAGTCCAATGATGCCAATGGGTTCTCCAATTGCATATTGGCCGATGGTTTTAGACTTCAACAGAATCCAGAACTGTTCAGACACAAATACGTCTCCTCCCTCGTCTTCAGATTCTGCATTTATACGAAGAAAGCCATTTACAGACTTCATTAAAAAGGAAGAATGTGTGACTTTTTCATCCAGTAGATGTCGCCCTCGAGCACCAGCACGAAACCAAAACAAACTGCGGTTTGGCCGCACCTCCTCCGCCATACTGAAGCCGTTGCTATACACACACCTCCAACCCCCCTCCACTCACATGAAGGAGTTAGGAATTAGAGTGCACCATAATTAAGCAACATTAAGCGCAAGCAGCAGACAAAATTGTCCTTTGCTCGAGCTGCAATCACCTTAGTCCTGCATTGTTGTGTTAGCATGCTAATGTTAGCAATCCGTAGTTAGCTTGTACCTTCACATTGCATGTAAACTGACAGAATGAGCGTGATCTAAAAACTCTGTCACATCCAAATAGTCAGCGAGTATGTTCTTCTCTCTAGTCCTTGACTAAAACAGCTTTTATCCACAAGGGGGAGGAGCCAGCTGTCCGGTCCATGTAAACACAGCTTTAACAACAACACAGCCAGCGAGACTCGAGCCTCTCACTAATTGTAGACACTCATGACTCAGAGACACATTTACACAGGAGATACTGGATTTGTGATTTATTCATGTGGAACATGTTGCACATTCTTCCTTTAAGTACAAGATCCAACCACAGTTTGAGAGTTAACATAAGGAGAACACTGGTATCACAGAAGCCCCATGATTGGATGTTGATAGGGTGCTAACAGGCAGGGGAACTAGTAAGACCAACCAAAACCAAACCTACTTCTGGGGCTTGATCGCATGAAACCCAAGGAGACGAAGCTGGAGTTGTTAGAACTCACCGACTGGATGCTCTGAAACTGTGTAGATGCCAGAGTCCGTCTTGATGGCGGTGTGGAAAAAGTCTGTCCGAGCGGGGGGGTGGAAGTGCGAGATGCCAGCCCACTACAGGGTGACTGCTTCCCTGATTCAGTCACAGGCATCTAAGGAGCACAGGATAAATATTCATCAGAGGCAGATTAACAAACTTCAGATTGTCATTATGGGTGGGGAGGAAGTTAAATAACCCACCTTTGTCATGTCAACAGAGACACTCGACTCTCTGCGGTACAGCGGTGGAGAAGCAAACTTCTTTCTTTCAGCGAACTGTGGGGACTCCTGCAGAGAAGACGTTTTAAACCACTGAAACAATGCACGATGAAAACAAGAGGGGTCTCAAATATCTGAATCTTACATGAGGTAGGTCTGTCGTCGAGGAAAGTTCCAGGTCACAGATCTCCAGGCACTCGTCCCCGTTTGTTAGACTGGCTTTGCGCTCCAGGAGCCTGGCAGGCAGTGGAGTGGACTGAGCGGAGGATGAGGATGAAGTGGTTTCAACACAAACCAAACAACTGAATCGTAAGAGAAAAAAAAAAAAAAAAAAAAAAAAAAGGAAAGGAGAGCTTACATGCATCGCTTTGGGAAGGACATCAACGGGGCTCCTTCGGTCAGTTTGAGCTGCGGGGGCGGGAGAAAAGACAAACAGAAAAAAAAAGTTTGAACAAAAGTCAAATGTTCATTTGTTTGCTTGAGTAAGGGCTGCGCAATATTATCGTTATCTAGATATGAGCCTTTGCGATAAACATGTCGAGAAAGTCAGACGAAACCAGAGCTAGCTATAAGCTAATCGTGGATAGGTTTGTTGTTTGTTAGATTCAAGGTGCATCTAAGTTGAGGTAACCAAATGTTATTTAACAGCTTAGCAGAATACAGCACCACAGAAACATGTGATGCTCAGCAGCACCATTGACCAATCAGATCACTGGAAAAACTTCCTACAGGATCTCATGATGAACCACTTTCCATTTCCATAAAGAGCAACTCAGTTGACAATGTGACATGATTTGAACATTCAAAAAGCCGAGCTCAAATCGTGCAGCATAATAAACAATACTTGTTGACAGGTTCAGAGTTACCCAGAGGAGACGGAGATCCAGACGTGCATCTCTTCAGTCTGGGGTGGCCTTTAGTGGGGGAGCTCTCACCATCCAGCAGGGAGTCCTGAACAGACAGAGTCATTTTAAAAACCTGCACAAAAAAAAGAAAAAAAAAAAAAGAACAAACTTAAAGCTCATCTCCTTCAGCTGAACTCAACCTGCATGAAGCTGAAGGAGCCGTGGATCTTGGTCATGAGGTCTTCCAGGTGTTGCTTCCTCAGGACGGGGTCTTTGGGTAAAGCAGAGGGAGCGTTGTAAACCTCCACGGGCATGTCCATGTGAACGGCCTGACATGAAACACAGACAGAGAGAGTTTTGTCAGGCGCCTGCAGCGGAGTGTTTCAGCTAATTCTGTGGCTTTGAACTCACCAGCTTGTGCTGCTCTCCTTTGGCTCGCCTCTCTTTTCTCTGGGGGAGAAAAATCACAGATTCATTACTTTGTAGAAACTGTTGTGTAGGACCATTTAATGATCAATGAGAGACTGTGCGCATTAAAATAGTTTGTGTTAGCAGGAACCAGGTTCTGCATGAAACCAGCGTTTTCAGCCCTCGGCAGGAAAATGTCCTCGTTTTTGTCTCTGTTCTCACAGCGCTCTCAGTTGATAACAGTCCAGTGTATCACCAATGTCACTCCTCCTCCCCACTGACCAAATTAAATCAAGAGGGGGCGGGACTTCTGATAACTTCTTTATCAACAACAATGACGGCAGAGAACCTAATCTCTTGTTTTTAAAATCACTAAGTCGCTCTTTTAATTACATTGCTAAATTAATGAAGCTTGATTGATTGGAAAATATTCAGCACACAAAGCTTTTGAAAGCTAAATTATCCACAACTACAGAGGGAAGCAGAACAAAACCCGTCTCTCCCTCACGACTGCGACATGAATCACGATCGGCTCCTCACCTGTTTGCAGTTTGCAGATGGTTTCTTGGAGGCGACGGGGATTTTAGGGATGAAAGCCGCCGCTCCTCTCCACGGTTTGTTGGCCGCAGATTGAGACGAGGCGGCTCCTTCAGAGAACGCCGTATCCCAGCAGTCCGGAGGCTCCCGCTCGCTCATGGCCTGGAAGTCCTCCTTCCAGTTCTGCGTGTGAGGGGTCGTCTCGGCGTCAGTCAGGTACAGTCTGTTGAAAAACTGCCATATCACCAACAGAGCATCAGTGGATCCTGGAGCATGCTTACAGGCTCTCAGAGCACTGAAATACTCAGTTCATGAAAACAGAAATGCACATTTATCTTACCTCCTTCTTTGAAACATCATTTGGTTTGGACTTCGATGTGGCTGAAAGAAGCAAAACACATGGATGCATGATCTTATAAAGCATGTACACAGTATTAAGAGTCAAGTCATCAGGATATTCTTACTGCTGTGATTGGTTGAGCTCAGCAGCACCTCTGCAGGCTTGTTGGGTGGAGGAGGAAGAACGCTGAAGTACTTGCAGGTCAACAGTTTGGTCAGCTCCTCCTTCAGCAGCTTAACTGGAGAGATTAATGGAAAACACCTCACATGACACCAGAGGAAAAATACAGATGACTTCAAGTTGTATCTGGTGTATCTTTGTGTTTTTGGCTGTCTATGTGTATGTTTGAATTTGTAGTTTTGGCTTCTTGCAGCATGTTCGTTGCAGTTCATTGCATGCATTCGCAGCGTTTCTAAATTTGCTGCCCGTTCTTCTAAATCCTTGTCTAGCGCTTACACCGGTTGACCACCATAGAATCATTCTCAGAGGTCTCCTCCCCTAACGTTAACCCATTTCAGTTGTTTGAATCTCCCTCGGAATTAATAAAGTATCTATCCATCTTGTAAAAGGAGGGGTCCCGGTAGACTAGTGGTTAGTGTTCAGGTCCCATGTACAGAGGCTTTAGTCCTCAAGAGCATGGAGCCCGGGTATTAATCTGACCTGTTGCTTCTTAAGGGCATGTCTTTCCCCACTCTCACTCTTTGGATTCTGACCTTACCCACTGTCCTGACTCGAAACCAAAAAAATAAAAAAATAAATCATCAAAAGGCCAAATATAAAATTTTACAAAAGTGGAACAAAAAGGGCTGAAGAGTTAAAAATATCTGATTCAGTTCAGTGACTTTCTTTCTGACCGCTAAACGCCCAAATTAAAAGAAAGAGCTTTGTCTAACATTAAATTTTCTGAGACACAAAAGTGGACGCAATCATATCTACACAAGCTTATTATGTACAGCTTTGTTTTTGAAGTCTACACTGGATGCGAGGCCACCAATGAGGGGGGGGGGGGGGGAAGCTGTCTGAAGGCCCAGGCACATGTGGGGTCCATCCTAGATTTAAGCAATCCTAACAAATTTAAAAAATGTAAATCCCCTCTTAAAGTGGTATGAACCATTTTTTTTGGACTATTAAGTTCAAGGGGCCTTCCCACAACTTCAACTGTTTGTCCAATAACATCAGGCTGCGTATTGTCATGCCAGAACCTTCACAAAGTCAAGATGCCAGAAAGTAAGGACCTTTTTTCAATAAGCTCCAAAAGCTGATCGGATACAGGCAGTGGAGGTGGAAGGCTCATTCACTTGGCCTTTCAGCAGCCCAGTTATTTCTATGGGCTGGCCTGAATGGATGGAAAACCTGGATTGAAGAGCTCAGTCCATGTTCATATACTCACATGTGGATCCAGCCACCGGTTTGTCATTCCCCTCCAGCAGATCCACGTAGGCCAGAGCCGCTCGCTCCATCTGCGCCACTAAACTACAACACAGGGAAGACAGAGGAGAATCATCGAGGAGGCCAGAGACCACCTCAGGGTTAAACTAGTTAATTCTGTGTAGTGCGCTACAATGACACCCACCTCAGCCTGCTGTCCCTCTGGACTCCCAGCAGGGTGGCGAGCTGACTCAGGCTGTGCAGCTGCAGGGCGGGGACCTGAGGAGCCTGGTTGCGTCCCGACAGCAGGTCTCTCCTGACGTGCTCCTGCTGCAGGCTGTGCAGGACGTGCTGCATCTGGAGCACGGTGCTCAGACGCCTCCTCTCTGCCTCCATCTTGGCTAACTGCTCCTTCTTCACCACCTTCTTCTGAGCTCTCAGCAGCTGCAGCAGGAGCAGTTTGGAAACCGTTTATTTAAGACTTAACGAATTATCACACACAGATCTGAACTAGTATGGAAAATAGCGAATGAAATTGGACATTTGAGTTTGTTACATCCATACAGTGATCGTCTCTGATGCTCCAAACGCATTTTCTTGTAAGTAGAGACATGGAGTCATGTTTAGAGCTTCCTAAGACTTACGCTCTGAGTCAGGCTGTCCAGAGTTTTGTGCAGCTCCCGTGCAAATGTGAGGTTATGTTGCACCTCCTCATATTTTTCCACAGCCGCCTGGAATACAAAGAGAAGAGCAAGAATCCATGAGCACAACCCTAAACACTCATGAGATCTGAATGTCCTTTTTAGTGAATACATGTCTGGGTCTTACCATCTGATCCTTGTTCAGCACTTGGCCTTGGGTCAGCCTCGTCTTGTAGTCTTCGAGTTTGAGCTGTGGGGGAAAAAAGAAGCCTCAGAAAATCTACCTCCGCTTCGTTTATTTCACGCCATCTCAAAACCTACCTTCTTTTTCTCAAGGTTGCGGACTTTGTGTCTGAGGCAGATGAGACCGTCTTCTATGTAGTTGTCATAGTCGTGGTAGGTTGTGGAGACCTCCAGGGTGTACAGGCCACAGGGCGAGCCCACCTTGGGGCTCCCGGCCATCACTGGGTCCTCCTGTCTGTCCTCCCCCTCCTCTGAGCGCTCAGGTGGAGGGGTGACATCCAGGGGAGGGGAGGGAGACAGCTGCACCATGTTGAGCTCCACACTGGAAGTACAGACATGCGAACATGTGAAGCTGCAGGAGAGACAAATGCTGCAGGGACCGAGAGGAGTGTTTGGACACAGATTAGAGATGGGAGGCAGCCCAGTTTGGGCATCAGCCAACCCCGTGACAGTGCATTTATGTCGGCTACCGAGCAGCGTGCTCTCTCTGGATCAATCAAGAAAGCAGCTGCTGAGAACACAAACACCATGCAGGGACAGGGCAGCTTTTTTTTTTTTTTGACAATTAAATACCCATGCATGCACGTGATACACGAGTCATTCTTCTCAAATAATGTGTTTTATCGGCATTTAAATGAGCAATTCAAGCGCTGGCACGGAATTTGTCACTGCGAAAATGTCATGCAGTCTTTAAAAATATCACACGAACTTCGCCGGAAACACTTTGGCATGCCATGACACTGCTTTAAAAAGTGCAGACTCATCATTTCAGAAGCATATTTTCAAATACGTCAGCGTTTCATTACAAACAAACGCCACGCGGACCGAAACAGCTGACCTCACCTCGTGCGTGTTAAATCCCTTCAAGAGAGCCGCTTGAACATCCGAAAATCCCCGAAACTGGCGCAACCCCTCACCGACACTGATGTTGGGCTCGCAGAGGCCACGCGAGATTCAGCTCACACCTTTATATACCCTCACGAGCGCGCGCGCGCGCACACACACACACACACACACACACACACACACACACACACACAAATCCAGCCACGAGCACATCCGGTCAAGCATGACCCCCCAGAAATTATTTAACAAGGACCTGATGCCCTTAACAAGTGTGGTTAATTAAACATTTAATTTAGGTATTATTGATTTATTTACATTTGCTTAGTCACATTCTATGGAAGCCCAGAGAGGCAAGTGAGAAAAAAACAATTTGATGATCTTTTTTTTCTTTAGATAAAATGTTTCTTCTTTTGTCTTTATCTGAGCAATAGAACAATCCAGCCAAGGGAGAAACTGAAGGGAAATATATTTTCTTTTCAGTTTAGTATTTGAACAACAGGTCGAAATGTAAATTCATATTTCCCCTTCTGTTAGAATATATATTAATGATGCCTGGAAAAAAAACAACAACTAGAACTCTGTTTTTAAACATTTAAACTTTATTCTTGAAATACGGAGAAAAAAAATGTCCCCCTCTGATTATTCCTATCAATTTAAAGGAGCAATATGTAACACTGACACCTAGTGTTTAAAATGGGTACTGCAGTCCAAATTCTAAACATTGTAAAGAGCTGTCTCCCCCTGCCCCCTCCTCTCTAGAGTCGATGCTCACGCAGGTTTCCATGTGGTGGACACTGAAGCTTCAGTGTTTATCCAGCTCTGCATCGGTCTGTAAACCTTTCTGCGTTCTAACCTCTCTCCATTTTTTAAAAGCATCTCCAATATTGATCCTAGTTTGAGCACGTTTCTGCTCGTGGAGCTTATTAGAAACATGCAGAGGCTTTTTAGGTCGGGTACAATCACTTCTATCTGAACCACTTCTCTTGCCCGCTTCCATCGCTGCAACACCTGTTGGTTTGACCTGATAACTGCTCTCATATCTGACAAACCGAGGGGCGTCCAAAACAGCCGTGTGGGGGTGCCTTAAAACCGCCTACCTTCTCTGGTCCAAACAAATCCAGAGCATTCAGGAGCAGAATCTAAAGTTAGAAGGAAGACATACTGACTGCTGCATTGTTGTCAGAGAAGCCAGCACTTCAACATAGCATGTTTCCTTAATGTCTTGACTGCCAGAGCTCAGACGCAGCGGAGCCGACCAGAGACAGACCGAACACTCATCTGGTGGTATTTAGGATTTATTTATTTGTTTAGGATTTGGACTGCAGTACCCATTTAAACCACTAGGTGTCAAATTACATATTGCTCCTTTAAAATACAAGAATTTATGAAGCATGTATCAAACCTGACAACATTTATTGAACATAGAAATTACAAGAGTGTATAAAAATACAAACTTCATCTCTAGAAATGAACAGAAGTGCATCTCCACAAAATAACCCTTTATGCATCATAACCTCGGGATTACATCTCATGCTGATCTCGTTACTAATCAAACAAAGAAAGAGACAATTGATGGATATTTACACAAAATGTCAGGAATACAAAATCCCTCTAAACTACGGCCGTTAAATACAACGTTTAAAGTTTCAATACAATCTTTTTACTTTGTGCTGTTTACACAGCAGCATTATGCAGCGTTATCCAAACATTTTATTTGACAATGTGTTCCTGTAGATCATTTCCAGTCGTTTTCTCGAGATCTCGACATATTTATCTCGTTAGCTCTCTTTTTTTTAAAGGAATGTTTTGGGGCTTTTTACGATTTCATTTTTAGAGAGTGGTGGGGAGGAGAGAGAGGGGGAAACGACATGAGGGAAAGGCCACACAGTTTGGATGCGAATCCGATTCTTTTGTGCCTTTAATGGATAGATAGGACAGTTGGAAATCAGGGAGAGAGAGAGAGAGAGCAGGGAATGACATGCGGGAAAGGAGCCACAGGTGGGATTTGTAACTGGGCCGCCCGCATGGAGGACTACAACCTCCATACATGGGGCGCGTGCACTAACCACTGCGCCACTTGCACTCAAATTTGACAGAGATTTTAAGAAAACTGCTCAAATGATCTCACTATCACAGGAAAATAAGCGTTGTATAAGTCAAGAACGAGAGAAACGACAGAAATTTCCTCGCTATCACGTCGGAGCAGATAAGGTGTGGAGATGCATGTCCTCTTTGGGCTTCTGTATTGCCTGACAGGAAACACCTTTGTTGGCATTCTTTAAATGTCATCAATTATCAATTTTTGGAAAGAAAAAACAAAAAAAATGTCATACACTTGTAGCAGCTCATAGCACTGTCTTTGACTTGTTCAAAATGAGCAACAAATTATTTTTCTGAAATAAAAACAAAAACCAAACAATGTCAAGAAAATGTTTCAGGTGTGTCTGTAATCCCTTAAGGTCACATATCCTCCTCCTCTTCAACCAGGTTAAATAAGTCTCAGAGCTCCTCAAAACATGTCTGTGAAGTTTCTTGTTACTCTGATCCTGTATTTGATCATGTCTATAAACCCCTCTATTTCAGCCCTGCTCAGAACAGGCTGTTTCTGTGTCTGTACCTTTAAATGTAAATGAGCTGTGTCTGACCACGCCCCCTCTCTGGAAGGGCTTGGGAGTCTCTGTGCTTTCTCGTTCCATGTTCCATTGTTTACTGTGAGAAGACAGACTCAGAGGGCAGAACAAACACCTAGCTGTGGGAGAGTCACCCACCTGGGGGAGGGGTTACTGCCCTTTGTGATGTCATGAAGGGAAAATCTCCAAACGGACTGTTTGAGCACACATTTTCTGAAAAGTGGAGCAGGCAGAAGACGGAGAGGATGAACTTTACTGATCATTGGGGGGTTTGTAGACAGACTAGAGACACATTATTGTTAGAGGAACATGGTGAAGTGGACTTTGAATATGTGACCTTTAAAATCCATTTATGCATCAGCAGTCAGAATGCAGAACTACATGAAACAATTAAACTTACACAACAAGGTTTAGCTGGGATAAATGATTGTTCACATTTATTAATATATATACAAAAAAATATATATTAAAGCTGTACAACATCACGTGACAAACTTAGCCGGGGAAAATAAAGTTCAACGGGGAGGAAAGTGAGATAAACAAAAAGCTGCAGAACATGAACTTAAACATACAAAGGCTTCAAACTCAAAAGTATATACAAATATAATCTTAAAGAATTCATCCTCGCAGCTTTTTAATGCTCTGTAGATAATGAGGGGCTCATTTATATAAAAAGCTCCCGAGCCCCTTCCTACTTGATCAAAAAAAGCTGCTGAAGAACGATAGCACATGTTTTTTAATCTGTTGATGCCAAAATCTTCCTGAGGGTTTAATAAGCTTATTCACTCTTTACAGTATTTGAAACATCAGCTGCTTCCTGAACATCTATTTTGTGCTTTTACCTTGAACTTATTTACAGACTTAAGAGAGACACGAGCAACATGGACGACAGGGAAGCTTTAGGACTTTTTGGTACAGATACATTCTTCGCTCGTATTATTTTAAAGGAAGAATGTGCAACTTTTTGGATACAAAACAAACTGATGTTTGGCCACACCTCCTCTGTACTGAAGCCTCCACTCTTCTCCAGAGTCACACCTCCAACCTCCCCCCCTCCACACGAATCAAGCTTTAGCGTTAGACACAATTGTCCTTTGTTTGAGCTTCAATCACCTGTGTCCTTCATTGTGTTAGCATGCTAATGTTAGCGCTCTTTAGTTAACTCAAAGCGTCACATTGCATGTAAACTGACACAGAATGAGCGTGATCTAAAGAAACCTACATGACATCCAAATAATCAGTGAGTATGTTGTTCTTCTCTCTAGTCCTTGACTAAAACAGTTTTTAGACACAAGGGGAGGAGCCGGCCGTCCCGTCCATGTAAACACGGCTCTGACAACAACACAGCCAGCGGGACTCGAGCTTCTCACTCATTGTAGACAGTCATGACTCAAACACATTTACACAGGAGATACTGGAGTGGAGACGTTAACTGTCGCACATTTTTCCTTTAAGATTTACATTTAGAGGTGTCATATTGTTCCTGCTGATGATTTAGAAAAGATGGGTGTTTGATCGTTCTTCCTTGAGGAGTGTATCGAATGATAACTGTCATATTTGAAAAAAAATTAACTTCAAGTCTGGCTATGTTAATATAAAGTTGAGTTTTTTTTAAACACATTTCGGTGTGAAAATAGATTTGAGCTGTGTTGGAAACAAAAAGAGATCTGTGGTTACCTTTGCAGGAATTTGAGGGTCAAAGTGACTCAAAAATGGAAGAAAACTTGAAATATTTTATCTGATTTATAGAATTGAGCATTATTTGTAGGAAGATGATAATACAAATGGGGTTTCTAAAAACCATCTCCAGCGGGTCTGTCGCTTCTTACGTGAAATTATGACAAACTAACGTTGCAAAAAAAATAATACAGAGGTTTAATGAACTGCCGAACTTTAAATTTGACAGTGCAAATTAAATGCAGCACCATGAGTCTTGTTCCCCAAATGAATATCAAGTCTAACCGACTGGGTGCACTGTTACTCGATCCATGAACGTGTCATCTGTCAGAGAAAGCAATGCAACCACATCATCATGTTACTGAACTTTAACAAAGAAAAAAGCCAGAAAACATTTTGTATTCAACTCCAAAAACGGAAACAAAATCCTGAATGTATGATACGGCTGTAGCTAACAGTGATGTTAGTTACATTACATTAGCTACAATATGTTAGCTACGTCACGTTAGCTGCATGACACTATCTGACATTTGAAGTCCATAGTTCCCCCCCCCCACCCCACCAAAGATGCTCAAATGTGATTGCTGTGCTGGTTTCTAGTCCCCACAGGCTCTTTAAATGTCTTTGTGAAGTGCAGATCCTTTTCAAGAGAAAAAAGTAGAAACATGAATTTGAGAAACATTCGTGTTTTTGAGTCAGAAAGAAAAAGGACAAACAGTCTGCTGTCCGTCATATGGCTCCATCCTAAGAGTAAAGGGTTAATTCCAGAGGTCTTCAGGTTTCCATGCAGCATTCAATAATCCAGCATTTCAAGACAAACAAACTATTTACAAAAATACAGAATCTCATCGCAAACCAAGACACTGAAGACAACAAGTCCGGGGATCCCGTTCAGGCGCCATCAGAGACCCCCCCCCAAAAAAAAAAAAAAAACTAAGAAGGAAGGATGTCTCAAACATCGGCGGAGGAGACGCTCAGTCGTCTCACATTATGTCCTTTTGTGTTATAGCTGCATCATATAAACTTTATCAATACAGTCCAAACATGTCCAAAAAAACCACAAAACTAACTGTGATGGGTGCCAGGAAATCTCCCGCTGCTCTGACGCTCTCTTCTCCGACTGTGCAGCGGTAAAACCTCTCTTTCCTGAATCCTCTGTGATGAATTCCTTCCCGCTAACAGCTGTGCAGAGCTCAGCAGGAAGAAGAGACGTTTGGTGCCGCACCGAGATTTTATATCGGAGTACGAGCAGGAAGCACGCTTTAACTCTGTCCGGCTGTGTCTGGAATCTGATGTGGTTTATGCAACATGTACAAAGAGGTAAAGCTAAGGACTCATGTAGGCTGGTACAGGAGGGATGCAGAACATGGGGGGGGGGGGGGGGGGGGGGAATAGAGGCAGGGCTGCGACTAAAAGTTGTGATCTTTACCGATAGATCTGACATTCATGAGCAGAAAGATGTCAAAAAAGGGAAAATAATGATGATTTTAAACAGCTTCTCAAGAGCGCGCATGACTTGAAAAAGTACTGAAATGTTTCACCAATCTTACAAATAGCTGGTGATGGGGTTGTCATGGCAACATGTTTTCAAACTTGGATAGGATACAAGGGAAAAATCAAACTGTTTTGATGGCGCAGCAACAAAAAAATAGAAGTCCAAGGCAACCAATACTGTTTTTTTTACTCGTTTATGAAGAACATAAATTGCAGGCTAAGGCCCCGTGTCCACCTAGTGTTTTTTTACGTTGCAGAAAAGCACTTGCTGTACTCTCGGGAGAACTTGCATGAAGCGTGGTTTACAACGGCCGCTGTAAGACCGACACGGCTTTGTTAAATGGTTTTTATTTTAATTTGTCTAAATTGCATAAAAACATTGGCAACGTTTAAGTACCTAAACGTTGCCAACATGTCAGTGAAATTTAGAAAGTGCTCTCTCTCTCTAGTTCGTGGCAGCTTTTGGTTAAACATATGACTTTTAATATTAAAGCTTCTACAGTTTATGACTTTCAGCCGTTAAAATAACAGGTTGCATTATTTTAGATCATGTGGTATTGAAAAGTATCCAAGTGTTGTAAGTTTTGACGACCTCAGTTCATTATTTTGTCTTTCGATCACCTTGAAGATGAATTGCTAAATAGTTGCAGCCTTCATATTTCCCTCTTGGTATCAAACAGCCAAACCTGACTCCATGGTTAAACTTCTAGTCAGCAGCAGCCGCAGAGCGCGAGTGTGTTTCAGTGTTTGGTCGAGTCTTATACATCAGTGTCTTGTACTTTTGGTCCTTGAGGAAGACTTTACCGACCCTTTGCTGCCATCACCGGGCTTCTTCACTCAGCTCCTCCTTCTCCTCCTCCACCTCGTGTGTGGATACTGGAGGCATCAATGCACTCACACTCACGTCCTGTCCTTCATCCTGTTCTGCATTCTCCTCCTTTCCTGTTATCTTCCCTCCTTCCATCTCCTCCTGCTGCTGCTGCAGGTCCTTCTCTGCCATCTCTCCACTTTCCTCCCCCTCCTCTTGTTGCTGCGGCTGCAGGTCCTTCTCTACGATCTCCCCCCCTCCCATCTCCTCCTCCACCTGCAGGTCTGGCTTCCTCTGACAACAGGGTTTGAACAGGTGGGGATCGATGATGATTTCTCCGTAGCGACCTTTATACACGATGCCACAGCACACTTTTTGTCTGAAAACAGGAACGCACGCCTCGGTCAGTTTGCAAAAATAAATTAAAGATTAATATTGTAAAAGCATAATGCTCTTTGAATATGATAAAGAGGTCAGTGAAGTTCAAGCTCTTAGCCAGAACACAAAAGGTTAGGTGTTCAGCATCAGTTACCATGGCAATCTATCCCTGAAAGAAGTGAACCACCTTTCCAGTCAGAGTTGACCCTGAAGTTACTTCGCTACAGAAAAACCAGCTTGGTAGTTCAGGCCCTTGGTTAGTTACCTTTTCCAGTAGGTGAGGTCCAGAAAGGAGAAGGCCTGGGAAGGGGCGGAGCCATGGGAAAGCTCCATGTCAGAGCCTTCGTCTGATTGGTTGCTGTAGGTGGGGGATTGTGCAGGTGAAGCGCTGGAGGTGGTGCTGTGTGCGTCCGAGTCTGGTGGAGACACAAGCAGCAGAGATCATTTAGACGTTTTTTAGACTGTCTGTGAAAATATCTGTACAGAAACGTAAACTGAGGCGAGCGTTTTACTGAACACGATGAAAGTTAATGCAGGTGGTGCATGGACTAGAAGGGCAAAACGCTCATTAGAAGCTTTAAAACCCTGCCACACCGCCATCTTCTGGTCCAATTAGTGTGCTGCAGATACATTTGCACATGCACATTAAAACTCAATACAATGGTTACCATGGGTCAATTTAAAAACTTGATCACAGTTCACTGTACTCATGAGTGTAAATGTTATTAGCTGTAGTTACCTGCTTACTCTTCTGGTCTTATAATCTATGTATTTTGTCTTTATTGTTTTTTGTCTCTTATTCGTTTTAATTGTACTCTTGACGTTGTTGTAAATAGGGTTAGTAAATTTGGACATTTCAGAGATTCATCTGCTTGTGTCTGACGCTGTTTGTGTTTTCTCGAGCTGCACAGTTACCGATACAGCTGAACCTGATAAAATGTTCAGCCCTAGGATACTTATATCTAGTAGCCGTGCACTGGAAGTGGCTTACTGTTTCTCTTGAGCTCGCTCTGCACCCGACTGATCTGTTTCGGCCTCAGCTTCTTCTTGATCTTCTTCGTCCTCAGTGTTGCCTTCATGCTCGATCCGGCTTTTGCATCAACCACCTTTAAAAAACATGCAGAAGACAAAGTTTTACAGCTAAATAACGAGACCCAAAACACTTAATTGTTCCGCTGGAGCGCTCAGAGATACAAAGATGTAACAGATGGTGCCCTCACATGATTCCAGTCCTTCTTGGATCCAGCTGGAAGCTTTTTCCATCTCTTTACCAGGAGGACACAGGCGTTACAGATGTCCCCACAACGCATTTCACCCAACCTGCAGAGACACAAAGACGCCCATGAACCTCACACAAAGACGATGGTTATGGTTGTAGGTAAGCCTGACACATGGGGAACTAAAAATAAATCAGTTGAAGAGATGTTAAAATGTCTGTTTGCATCAGTTGTTTTGTGGAGTTCCTCAGGGGTCTATTCTGGGTCTCCTTTTCTTTACAAACCAAAAGGTCCTCCCCTGGTAGAAAACATGCCACTCCTTTGTAAATCCTGAACTTCTGCATAAACAGCAGAGCTAGACGGTGAATGTTTGATGATTCAACCTTCTCGCTCGATGTAAAGTGATGCCGACTCACCCGAAGCAACTCTTGAAGTTCATCTCGTAGCGGTTGCTGTCGGTGAAGCGTGAGCTGGACGACTTGGCTCTGCAGATGCAGCAGCCATCGATGCTCCGGTACATCTTAGGCTTGTGGAAATTAAACATCTACAGCAACATAAAATACAAATCAATTATTGATGAGGAGCTGTACATTTTTACTGGATGCCTGCAAGTTTTACCAAACAATACAAACAACAAAAATCAGCATTTTTCTTCCCACTGACGGGAGGGCTTCACAACTGCAACTATTGTTTTTAATTTATCGGCACATTTTTTAAATTATATGTGTACATTAAAATTCTGCCCGTTTTAAGTGCAGCTCTGTAATATAGGAAGCAAAAGGTAATAGTGACACATTTTAAAGGCTGTATTCTTCTTTTTTAAATAATAGTTAATAAATACCTGAATGAAGCAGTTTTATTTTTGAAAAATCTGTTTGTCTGATGTCAGGACTTTGTTATAAATAGATTGCTTCGGTGTTCATCTTTCATGAGATCTGAATTATAAAAAAGTATTTTTTTTAAAAACAATGAGACCAGGTGATAAGAATTTTAATATTCGTTGGTATGATTTTAAGAAAAATTGCAGGCTAACTCATGCACACGGTGTAAGTCGCACAAAAACATTGGCGATGTCTAAAAACAGTTTATCAGTTCTCATATCTAGGTGCAGGTGAGGGTTTTTTTTCATGATCATCAGACGAAACAAAAATCTTCAGTTGACAGCAGGTTCAGAAAAACAGCATATTTGAACATAAAAGAAGCTCGGATAATAATGACATTGTCACTTAAAAAATGTCCTAAAAGAATTATTCTGAAAATATTCGTTCCTCACATTTGATCACAAATCTCTGGTTCAAGATCTGAATAAAACATACTCTACAGTCAAATAATAAGAACGTATGTTATTGAGGAAAAATCAGTATTAGCAGTTTTTTTTTTTGCCCCAACATATAAAGTATAGTCAGTGAAGATACTTCAGCTATAATAAAGGCTGTGTCTCTGTGCGTAATGTGCGCATTTACGTCATTTGCCATTTAAGCCGACCCCCCCTGCCTCTCCTGCGTACGTGGAGGAGGGGAGAGAAAGAGGGGAGAGGGTGTGTGTGTGTGTGTGTGTGTGTGTGTGTGTGTGTGTGGTGCAGGTTATCAGTGTGAGCATCACGTTGGGAGGAACAGCGCGGCCCCGCTGTCTCTTATGTAACAGTGGTGCTGATGCAACTTGAGGCTCGACGTGTGGCCGCAGGGATGCTGAGCGACATCCACAGAGGAAAAGAAACACTCTTAAAAACTAAATATCTGCTTTTATAGTAAATTCAAACACATTGTCCTGCATTTTAAAATGAGATAAACCCGTTTAAAATGACACAAACTGACACGTTTTGCATTAAAGTCTAAAGTCCAGAAATATTAAAATTACGCAAAAGTTGAAGATACTTGAGGTGATATTTTTTATTTTACGCTGAAAAAAAAAAAAAATCGAGTATGGCTTCGTTTTAACGCTGCAGTGTGTGATGTGCATCGTAGTTTGCGGTGATGCTGGCGGTGATTGTGTAACCCCGTCCTGGCCTCCATAGCACATGGCAGGACTATGGTTGGACGCAGGAGGAGGGAGGAGGAGGCGTGCAGTGAGCCGACTGCTCAGCCTGCATCTGCAACACACCGATCATAGGCTGCACATTCAGAACCGTCTGAATATGACCAGAAAGTGGATAAAAGTGGACACACACACACACACACACACACACACGGGTAAAAAGTAAAGTTTGTGATTTTAAACAGGTTCCTCGTCGTCTTCAGAAAGCAGAGTAAGCTGGTGCATCACTACACGGAAACGTAGGGCAGTGCTGCCTCTCAGATTATAAACATTTAGTTTGTTTCTTGAACACAAAGATCTAAAGCACTGCCTACTTTCTCCAGATATTACACAGACACAATAAACCCGCATAAATATCCACTATAACCGACAAAGCTCAGCAGAGATCTGCAGGTCGGGTCCATGTGCAACAATGGAGGCTCAGGCAAACACGCGAGCAGCAAACACGCGAGCAGCAAACCCGTCAGCACTGCTCGCTCTTTGAATTCACTTTTTTTTTTAGTTTTTATGTTGCACGGCAGGAGAAGAGTGCTAATTCCGGGAGGTTAAAAATGACAAATTGCAGGTTTCCGATGGTTTGCAGTGTTTGAAATCTAACCCTAGAGTTGAAGGGGGGCCGGACAGTGACGCAGGAAACACACCCACCACCCTGACAACAAAGTGGAGCTCCGCTTTCACGACACACACCGGCACGCAAACACGCGCAAAACCCCCCCAAAATGTGACACAAACTGCTGCAGGCGCCTTTCCTGAATGTGTCCTCGGAGATGTTTGAGTTTGCAGGGACAAGCTGGTTAGAGTGACGCCATGTGAGACCGTGAAACCAAAGGCATTCCTCCGGTAACTTTCACGCACGCCGCCACACAAACGACGTGACAGAAGAAGAAAAAAACCCTCCACGGTCATTCTGCGCAAAGTGGGAGAAAGATTCTTACCGTGATTTGAGGTGAGACGCAGAAACACTCCTGTCATGAGAAACTCCAAACACTCGTCGGTTTAAAGGAAGAAGTGTCGCTCATTCAACGCACAACAATGCCGACGCAGACTCGAGTTAAAACGTTGCCCGCCAAAGCGTCAATATTCTACGATGTTAAGAGCACTTCCGCTTTTCAGTTTCAAAATAAAATTAAGCGCACGTTTCACAAAGTATCAAAAAATGTTTTATCGAAAGCTCTTTTGTACATTTAGATGCTGAATAGTTTTTTTTTTTTTTTTTTTTTATAGGAATGAAACACTTTTCCTGCATATGATTTGTCGTAAAAAGCTAAATCTCTTATTTAGAATATATAAAATAACTTTCACAAATTTATATTTTCCACCAGGGAAAACACATATCCAAATGTCCCAAAAAAAAGAATCAGGCACTTTAGTGAAACAAGATGAAATGAGCAAACTAAAATATAGCTTAGCTTGTTTATCAAATTATTTTTGTTTAGACCCTGAAGGTCCCAAAAAGTTAAAACTTGGATATTGTGCGAATAAGTTATAATCTTTCGGAAAACGAAACAATTCAGAGCCCTTAAAGTCCCAAGAAGTGAAACATTGAGAAAGAAATTATCTTGTTTAAAGAAGTTGATAACTTGTGCACACAGGAGGATAGATAATATGTGAAACCAAGCTATCCCCCATGTCTGTATAACAATATAATGATGTGGAAGCAAATTAGAATGTTATGCACAATTTAGATGGTAATGTGGGTGTAACAGATAATAATGTTGTGTGCACAAGATAGTTACTTATGTGCGCAACAAAATCCCAGTGTGTGCACAACATATTAAACTTGTGTGCAATGTGATAAAGTTGTGCACAAAAATTACTATCTAACATGTGCACACGTCACATTTTTTATTGTCGGTTATCAAGTGTTTCTTAAGAGAAAACATTAATGAAAAAAGAAGGTATTTTATAATTCTGATAATGGTGAGTTGCAAAAACCTACTTCTCTCTCTTTCGTTTTTTTAAATGACAAACAATCCATTCAAGGAGACCACACATGTTAAAGTCCGCAACAAAACAAAAAATACAACACACACTGATTTATGGTAGCTCGAATAACACTTAAATTTAATCTATAAAATGTATTTTTCTAATTTGCTTTCTTAAAATGTAATTATATGAATTTAAGTAGCTGTTAGGAAAATATTGATTTAATTTGAAGGTTACGTCACTTAACTTCCGGTTCCATGGTAGCAAACTGTAGTTCACTTGACGCAGCCAGCGTGCCCGTAGTAGAACCTTCCACGCATGCGCACTGCCAGACTCCCGCGCCACCATTTTCTGATTTTTTTTTCAATCAGTGCGATTTGCATACAGCTGTGACGTCTACCAGCGGCGTGAACACACTGTGATGCCCATATAGGGATTTACGCGGGAAAAGAATGTGCAGCCAGTTGCTATGGTGAAGCTGCAGCGCGGGAAAGCTACCGGGAGGTGGCTCTGTTTACACTTCATGTTTTTTATGCTTTTTTATGCATATTTTCAATTATTTTTGTTATTTTTTTAATCTTTTAAATCAGAGACTTATAAATTTGATCATGATTTCATCTCTTGGTTCAATTATTTATGTCTGTTGACTTGACTTGTCTTAATAATTATTGTCTCTATTGTTTTGTATTTATGTCTGCCTGAGATTAGACAGAATATAGCTTCATATTTTCATATACAAGAGAAGCTGGTTGGTATTTTACTTTGATATCATAATCTTTTCAATGACCTACAAATATGGAAAAAGAAAACGTCTTCCTTTGTTTATTATGGAGGAATTTTATATATTTACGATATCATACTTTTAAAAATGCCTGGAAAGTGTTGTTAATATATTACAGATATATTTAACATTATAGACACCTTACAGATACTTAAATGAGAAATGTAACTTTCTAAAAAATATAGCACAGGTGTCAGATTAAACCTTTAAACTTGCAGATAACTTCATTCTTTTATAGCTCCACCCTCACAGCCATATATGGTCACATCTGGCTCTAATTATAATAAACAACAAAAAAACTCCATGAGTAACTTCCCACTTGCTGCTTCTTCTATACAGTCTATTTGTTTTAGGGCTGTCCAATGATTCAAACTTTTAATCGTGATTAATCACATTTTTAATCACGTTTGAAGTTCCATTATTTCAAATTAAATAGAAAAATGTAGGCTTTTATTTTGTAATTTCATACTGTCTTAATCTGAAAGTACTTCCTTTGCAGTTTGAATTCAACCCTGCTTTTATTTCGAAATAAAAGCAGGGTTAGGACCTTCTGGTAGGTCAAAGGTTATGACAATTTACAGGCGCCAGAAATCTTAGCGGTTATGAGGCACGGCCCACGTACAGAGGCAAAAGTCCCTGTCGGCGAGTCAGTTGGTTGGAATCCGACCTCGGCCCTTTGCTGCATGTCATCCACCAGTCTCTCCTCCCATCACTTCAGCTGTCCTCTAATAAAGGCAATATGATCCTAAAGAATAACAGGTTGAAAACTGACATCACACAGCTCAAAAGAACGGTAACAAAGGTCAATGTGTGATGTCATCAGGTGGATATTACTTTGGACTCGTCAGCTGAGCTGTCTGAGAGTTTGTTAAAGTGAAATGAGATATTCAAAGATAAATAGTGTCCTTATTTTACAAAACTGGGACTACTGGGAGACACTGAGGACGACTATCTACAGTGAGCCGTAAGGGACAAAACAGCATGAGATTAATCAAGATGAACTAGTTAATGCTGACGGCTCTGATATTTGTAGACACACATTACGTTTGGTTTAATAACACACACATATCCGTCTCCTTGAACACACTGCGTGTTTTTATTGAAATAGGCATAATAAATATCAGAACAGAGTTAATCCGTCAGACAAAGACTTGAAACTCTTTTTGTCCGCTGGCGTTCTTCCCATGACAGTCTGAAGAATTGAGCAGATCCACTCGGGGGTTCAAACCACTCCTCACACCGCATGTTCATGTAACAAATCCACAGTGAGTCTGAAAGGAGGGACGTCCGTGGTCGTCCACAGTGAAAGTTCTCCTCTGACATGTAAAGAGTCTGAACACAGAAAACATCCAGGACGAGACGGAGGAATCTGTCCTCGTGCTTTAGAGCTGCGGGTTAGGCATCAGCAGCGGGAGCACAAGGGGTTAAAAACATGACGAAAACACTTGAAGAGGGAATAGTGGCTTTAAAAACATGAACATTTCCAGTTCTTCCAAACCCACAGGCGTTATTAACCTTAAATTCACAGCACTGCTTTCAGTGGATAAACACTAAATTAATAAATACACAAAATAAAGACATTCAAACTAAAACAGGCATTATGTGTTTACAGATTCAAAGATCACCGCAGGACTCCGGGGCTGCAAAGGTTGTGCTCTCTCGTCTTTAAATCTGCAGAGAAGCTCAGAATAAATACAGCTTGGTCTACACGGCGACATGCACTAATGAAGACATTTATACCGTTTGTCAGACGGAGGAAAGTGGCAGCAGTGGTCAAAATCTCATGCAGCTAAAAAATTAAAAGTTAGGACAAAATCCTTCAGAGGAAAAGAGGTTCTGATAAAAAAGAAAAAAAAAGGCAGTTTGTTTGTGTTTTAAAGGAGCTATGTTTGAAGTTTAACATCATACATGAGAGAGATCGTGTTGCATTCAGGGCATGTGGGAATTTACAGTGAGTTTGAACTGCTACTGCATTTTGTAACATCACACATCTCAAATGAATCCATTTAATGAGAAGTCATGAAGTGTTGAGAAATTAACTTGCACAGTTTTTGCATATTCATAGCCAGGACTTATGAGATCTGTACGCTCTTTGTTGGGAAGCGTTTCTGTTCCAGTGTTTCCGACATTAATACAGAGTCAGGAACTTTTCGACTTTGAGTGAAAATTCCTTAATTGACCACAAGAAAAATTGTTTAACTGACGAGCTTTAACCAGAGATTGAAACCACAAAGTTTCCAACGTAAAGTCATAAAATTTCCGATCTCTGTTTTGTTCTCTCTGCTGACACCTGTGGCGAAAAACTGTAACTGCAGCGATCCGAATGTTGCAATGAACTTTTTATCGCTTGTCTTACTGTTGGTGTCAAATTAGTGCCTTTTTCTTTAGATAGTCACGTGTTTGTGATGTCCTCACTTTGACGATAATAACTTTAGACTCTAAACCATGACACGTTTTCAACACAGCAGACGTTTACTGCAAATTCTGAAGAATATTTATGACACTGAACATCTGCAGAGTTCTTGCTGTAAGTCATGCATCGACAGCCGGCTTGACTCCATGACTACTTAGTAAGAACAACGTGGTTTCAAGCAGAGGAGGAAGTTAAACTTTTCAGCTGTTGTGGGGGGAAATATAAGCTAGCTAGTTCATGAATGAATGTGTGATGCATAAATGATCACTCAGTGTTCCAGTACACGTCAGAAACCAGTACATCCCTTTAAAACTTTAAATGTGAAGATATAAAAATAAAATCAGGGAAAACACGTTTCAGCCACACATCCATGGAATATGTCACATTCTCCGATGTGCACTCACGTGGACACAGAGTTTCAAACAGCCAGGTTGATGGCTGAGGTTCGGTAGGAATGTCAGTGCAGCCACAGGTTCATCTCCGGCCACCGAGCCGCATCACTGAGATCAGTATTTTTGAGTTCATCCGCAGGCTGAGAGCGGAGAGAATGCCCGACATGAATCAAAAGAAAGAGAAGCATGGAGAGCAGGTGAATCTTCAGCTCAGTGCTCGAATTAAATCCTGCTCCAGTGTGTCAGTAAAACCTCCGTCCACATCCCACAGGCATGCTCGCTAACGCTAATGCTAACGAGGGGATGACGGCGGTGAAATTGCAGGCAGGAAAGAGAATCACAGTTAATCGAGTCGTACCTACTGAAGAAAGGCTAAGCTACACAGCTAACACGCAGGGAAACTTCGGCTGCTGCTACTTAAAAGTTGAAACAACCAAACCGTTGGAGTTTGGCCGTCTTCTATCTGGTCAAACCAGCGTGCATTACTGTTAGATGTTCCCAAGCATTCTGTAAATCTTTTAGATTGATGTTCCTTCTCCACACAGTCTCTGTGTCGGCTGGTTCAAGTTTGAGAATCATCGTGTAGAATAATTATCTGAGGATTAGCTTCCCTTTGAGTATTGTCAAATGACTCTAAAACACAGATGTTGAGAGCAGGGACTTTAGTAGTAACTCTCTTTACTTCAGTGTCCTGCTGCTCCAAAAAATGTCGATTCCTCCGCTGCTGAAAGTAGTCCCCAGCAAGTGCATTGTTACCTACAGTTTTTTTGTAAAAAACCTTCATAGAGCAACCGTTTAATCCTTTAAAAAAAATGTAATTTAATACCTGTGAGGTGTTCTTGAAGGTTTATATCTCGAGAAGAAGCCAACAGGTTTCATCTGCGATTCAAATACTTTGATGGCTAACGTTTCTGCACCAATGTAATGTTAATACGGAAGTAGATTTTTGTGTTGTCGCAGAAACAATGGCTCCCTGGAAGGTCAGAAATCATTTAAAAGGGGATGGTTTGTTCTGGACATTTGCACTAATTTGCATTAATCCCTGGTTTTGATTTAATTAAAAGAGTCTTCAGATCCACAGGTGGGGGAATAATACTGAATCCAAAGCGGAGTCTTCTAACTTAAAGCAGCCATACTATTTTCTTCCTCGTCATCCTGGGGACACGTTCAATACGAGAGCCGATCGGCTAAACGTGGACGAGCGCGTGAAGCTGGTGGTAAGCGAGGTAAGCGTCCCGTCGGTCCCCCCGCTGGGTGCTAAAGGTCGATGCCTTTGACCAGCGAGGCCTCCAGTGTGATGGGGAAGTCGTGCAGCGTCTCCACGACTCCGATGAGCGCGTTGACGGTGGTGCGGTCTCTGAGCAGCGCCGTGTCCTCGTACATCCGCAGGATCACCGGGCACTCCACCAGCAGGGGGAGCCACTGGGGCAGCAAACGGTCCCTGCAGAACAAAAAGATTTTCTTTAGTTGCAGAAGGATTGCGACATCATCGGTTATTTACCTTCTGTAGAAAACCTCCAGCCTGAGCACGACCTCCAACAGTCACTTCTATGTTTTCAGGCCAAAAGGCTGTTTAATTACAGACACAGAGATCGTAGCGGTGGCGTGCAGATAGTCGATGTGCACCAATCACAGGATATAAACTTCATTCCCCCACGCCCCCCTGCTGAAGGTGAATTCTCCTGATTATATCCTGTAAACCAACCTGGCTCCGAGGCAGACGAGCAGCTGGAACTTCCCATCTTTGCCGATGTTTCTCCGGGTGGAGTTGATGGCGTTGACATAGTGACAGAGTGATTGACAGGTCATCCCCCGGGGCTCCGCCGTCTCCTGCAGGTCTCCCATCTGGTCAGCCGACTCCATGTAGGCGACGGCCTTTTCTGCAGAGGAAGAGGAGAGGAAGAAGAGAGAGTAAAAAACACCGAGCAGATTAAAGATTGTGTCGTCATCAGCAGCAGGGGGCGCCAGTCGCTCCTCACTCACCCACAAAGTCCCACACGAACACGGTCTTCTGAAAAAGGCGGGCAGACTTGAATCCGTGGTGGAAGAACTGTTCGAGCGCTGCGACCAAACTGTTCTCTCCGCACAGCAGGACGGTCAGACTGCCTCTCTGCACAGGGAGACGACAAACAGCAACATGTGAGAGGTCATACCACTACACATCATGAATCTTTACATTTCTTTAAGTTAATGACCTTGTTGCTAAAAGATTTCAGTTTTACGTTTCTAAAAATCACAGAGGAGGCAGCTTTACTAATCCTGCAGGTACATTTTTGTGTTATAACCTGCAGCTGCACACGACATGCGAGTACATTTTAATGACTTTTTAGGATAACTAAATGTGCAGATGTGCAGGTGTGAGCGTTACATCTCTGTGAATCTGTAAAGTGTAAGTGACAGGATCAGTGGAAAAAGACATCTACAGCTGTTAACGATGTAAAGGGTTTAAAGGAAACTGTAAAATAATCGAGAAAACAGCCACATCCAAAAACAATAAGGGGCCGGTGCAGAGTCGAGTAGAAATGTTACTTCAAACAAAGAGAAGGACGTCATGCACACTGCAGGGCTAAGGTCACTCCGTACAGCACCATCTTAGATACACATGAACTCAGTCACATGAGCAATCACTGGTGTGCTCCAAACGTCACATAGAAAGTCCGTTCTGATGGATAAAAGGAGTGTTAAACTGAGTCACTGACCTCTTTCTCCGGCTTGTGGAAATGTTTGATGATGTTGTTCACGGCCTCCCCGATCCCCTCCTGGATCTGAGCTGAGGTTGGCTCTGCAGCAATAAGGAGTTTAATTAATAACAGACACGTGGTTGTTAATATCAACACTGGTTCCAGTAATAAAACCTGCATACATTTAATATCAGAATGTCAACTTTGACGACCTTTAATCTTCATATTTTAAATTCATACAGAAATAAAACAAATATATTTGACAAGTTTGTTGTATGACGGAGATCAGCAACATCTTAAAAACTCCTCAGCACTGGTCTAATGTTATTCTGTTGTTGAAGTCTTGATGGAAAAATAAAGATCTATCTTGCGGTCCTCTTTAGTTAAAGGAGCAATATGTAACTCTGACACCTAGTGTTTAAAATGGGTACTGCAGTCCAAATTCTAAACAATGCAGAGAACAATAGATGTGAGAGATGGATAGAAATATGAAAACTGAGTTTTTAAGTAGGTGTTAAAAAAGGGAAACTCTCAGATCATTCAAGGTTATAAAATCACGCAGAGTTTTGTTGTCAGCGTGATCTAAGTTTAAACTAACAGCGTGTGCAGAGCTGTGAGCCGTGTTTTCGTCCTGACGGAAACTTACTGGACCCTCGTGCAGACATCGACGTGATGCTGATGCGTCTGATCTGAGACGGCGAGCGCTGCAGCGGGGGCGTTCGGCAGCCTCTCCCAGAATCCTCCTCTGCCGTCGACAACACCAGCTCACCGATCAGCACTCGCTCCAGGCTGCCGTCGTCCACGCCCTTACCGAGCCAGCGGCCGCACGGGAACCTGCATGGGGGCGGAGTCAACAAGGATGCAAAGGATTGTCGGAGGTCGCTAAGCTTCTTTAAGCTGTGTATCCTTTTCTTCTTCTCCGTGTCCATGTGTGCACTCACCTGTACGTGTGTCCTGTGATCTCATTGCGCACCATCACACAGTCAACCAGCCATTTGGCGAGGAGGCCGGCGTTGTCGTGACCGAGCTGCACCGTGGTCAGCTTCCCCAGATTCTGACACTGAACACACAGAGAGAGAGAGAGAGAGAAAGAAGGTTCATTAAAGATAACAAGCAAGGCCGGACGTTTAATTCTGGACTCTACTTGTAAATATTTTGGGGAACAAAATGTCTATTCAGAACCCCGACTTTAGTCATTTAAATGGTTTGTTCGGGTCCAACACAATATTTATCTAACAGAGGGTGACATCCACTGGATCAAAAAGTTGCACTTTCTTCCTGTAAGTGGTTTTAAGCCGTGCTGACGACCATAACGTCTTGAATATACAGAGACTGAGATTCAAGGATTTGGCTACAAACGTTTTCAGGGTAGCAGACGAACTAGAGCTAATTCCAAATGTACACAAAGCTGACTGCAGGACAAAAAAAAGGCCTACAGGGTAACAGGCAACAGAAGCATTCAAAACAAAACAAAGTGCATGATGGGACATGGATGATGAGGGAGAGGGGGCTTCGTCTAACCTTGAACAAGGCCGAGATGTGCGCGTGAGGCCTGAAAGCAGACTGAGGGAGATGGAAACACTTGTTAAGACACATGGATGGACCACAAAAAAATGATTCCGGCAATCTCATCAAACATGCAATGAGGAAAACAAAGATGCAACGAGAAAAACAAACATGCAGGGTGACGAGGACAGCAGGAGGTCTGCAGCTCCAACAGGACTGGATGTGTCTGTAAACCTCAACTGTCTGCAGGGAGGTGGTTGTCATGACAACATCACCTGGTCTGCTCTGGCTGTGATTTGAATCCCGTCTCCAGCGGGTCATTTTCCACACCACATCAAGTTAAAGTCCTCAATGACCTACTCTGTGTTATTGCAATAAGAGAGAATCCCCCTTTAACGACCTGAAACAAACCCCCTGCACTCCCTTTAACGTGCATCATGCAGAGAGAGCGTAACTCCAAAAGTCACGTCTGAATACGGCCAATCAGCACTCAGCTTCTATCACGAGGGCGTCACACCACGTCATCACACAACACTCACGTCGAAGGTCATCTCCAGGACGTTTTTAGGGATCTGCATGATGCCCGAGTCGCCCAGCTCCCCGGACACGCACACCCAGGGGTTGGAGGTGGTCATGGTGTTGCTCAGCTTCTTGATGGGGATGATGACCACTCGGTACGGGATCACTGCAGGGACAAACAAGACGAGAGTGAGAAATCAAAAATTCAGCAGAAACACTGAACTCAGGCTGCACTGAATCAAGTTCATCGAATAAAAAGAGACGAGAGGAGTACGCTTGCAGAGGATTTTTAAGAGCACTTTTCAAGGCCCTGACACACCAAGCAGAAGGCAAAGAACTGGTGGCGCCTCACATCGCCCTCATGTCAAAAAGCTGCACTTGAACACACCACAAAGACTACAGCCGACAGCCAATCACCACTTACGTTCTGTGCATGTGTGAGAGGAAATAACTCTCCATGCCAGCAGGGGGCGGTAGTCCATTGTTATGACATGAGAAGACAATTTTCACACCGCTGTCGGTCACCACTCATATTATAGGTAGTCTACTAATGGAGAATAATGTCTGATAAAAAGTTTTAAATGGTGCTGGCGTTGTCAGTCCTTTGTCTTTTAGTGGAAAAAGAAAAGAAGAGGCGACAAATAAGGAGAAACTGCTCTAATGGGTGAAAGCATGGATACTACAGCGGCATGCTCAATGGGCTTTCCTGAACCTGAGAGGAGAGCTGGAGAGAAATGAAACCTCCAAACAGCCAATCGAGGGATTCGGCCAAAAAAGGGCAGACAGGGCCGATGGAGCCGGGAACACTGCAAAAACTACGCGATGGTCCAACGAGGACCGACGGCCGACGATCTCATTGGTGTGTCAAGGCCTTCAGGCTGGAATTCTTGGATGTTACCAACGAAATTGTCAGTCAAACAAAAAGTCTATCGTAAACTCTGCTTCCCTCCTAGAGTTTGTTGTTGTAATACAGATTTTGGCCACAAGAGGCAGTGTTTTTGTCTTACACCTTTTTAATACAGCACCTTTAAAAACAGATGTTTACTAGTGCTCCGACAAAGTAGAGGCAGGAACTCAGGACAACAACAAAATAAACACAACATATTTCTGATTTCATATTACTTTGTGATATTAGGGTTAAATGTGGCCTTGATTGTTGTTGACTCTGACGCACTACATGGGAGGAAACTATCGTTCATCAGGGCCGTCTGGTGCCAAAACCCTCCGTCTGCCAGATCACGCCATCGTGTTTATGACATGCAGTCTGACCTCAGCATATGATTTATGTCTGCCCTGATTCTAAGCAGTGATTGAAGGGAGCTGAGGTCAGAGGTCACATGCTGCTAAAGGGGGCACTCACTGATGGTGGTGAAGACGCTGGTGAAGCAGAAGTAGTCGACGGCGTTCAGAGAGAGGAGGTGGAAGAGGAACTGCTCCTTCTCCTCCTCGCAGCGCAGGAAGGCGTAACGCTTGTACAGCTTCCTGAGGACACACGGCAGGAAATCAGATCATTTAAAAAAAAAAAAAAACTTTATTACAAAGTTTCCCTGTCACAAGAGAAAAGGAGTTGTTTCGTCAGCTTCACATGTGGACCCCTTTGTTCCCCGATAAAGAGCAATGAGCGTCAAAAGAGGAGTAACAAAAGCTCTCACTTCAAACATGGAAATCCTCCCGTTTGATAAAACACGAGTGTCTTGATTGAGGAATCTAAACAGCGATGTTAGCACAGATGCAGCTCAGACAGGAACATGGATCAATCTGACCTGTCGATAAAAGTGTGAATGTGTGTGTGTGTGTGTGTGTGCGCGCTCACTTGGTTAAGGCTTGTCGGCACAGCAGCTGCTTGAGGTGCTGAGAGAGCAGCTTCTTCTCCAGGGACAGACGGATCCAGGCCCTCGCTCGTCCCACGTCCGTCTTTATCTCTGACATGCTCTGGATGTGCCTGAAGAGAGGAACGGCGGAGGGACAAGCGACACACTTAAAGAAGAAAGCTCTCAGAATCAATGTGATCAACACGTTTCAGGCATAGGAGGAGAGGTTAACCACCATCATTAACTTTCAGTCTTCCCGCTTTGATCAGCGAGTGAAGTTTTATTAGATATACAGTATATTACATTAGATATCTTTCCACCACTAGATGGCAGCAGCGAGTACCTCATGTCCTGAATGAGAGACACTCGAAGGTACGGCATCCCAATGGAGCTTTCAGACTTCCTCCTCTCAGGAACATTCGACACTGCGAGGAGATACACAGGATTCAGTTTCACAAAATTAAGACAGAGCAGGACAGTCAGTGAGTGTGTGTGTGTGTGTGTGTGTGTGTGTGTGTGTGTGTGTGTGTGTGTGTGTGTGTGTGTGTGTGTGTGTGTGTGTGTGTGTGTGTGTGTGTCTCTCTCTCTCTCTCTCTCTCTCACCTGGAGACTCGGCCTGCTGCTCCAGCTTCTCCTCCCGGGCCTGGTAGTGCAGCAGGTGGGACCACAGAGCCGACTTCCCCTGAGAGGTCAGAGAGGATTGTGTGAGTGTCCGAAAATTACAGCACACAAAGAGAGCTAACGCGTTCACAGATGACGGCAAGAATTACACACACACGCACACACAAACGAACACACGCACACACACGCACACACACGTACACGCACAAAAAGAGGATTTTTGAGGCAATAACCTCTTAGCCTTAATATCCAATGTGTTCGTAAATACCTGATTAACCACCGGGTGTTTATTCTGACAGCAGCCGCGAGCGTGTGACATCACATCTCCTTTACCATAAATCTGATTATTCTGCACGTGCAGCGACAGAATAAAGCTCTACTCGTGTTTAGAGGAGAATTACACGATTTTAAAACCTCTTGAAGCTCTAAATGTCTCGTAAAAGTTTTGGACTTTCTTTGCCGGATTGCTTCAGCCGCAGAGATCGTTTTCTCTGCAGGAAAAAGTTTGATTTAAAGGGTTCATTCGGCTATTTTTCTCTGAAGCTGATATAATTCTGCTGTCTTGGTTTTGTAATTTGCAGTTTTGTTATGTTGCACGGATTACATCCTGCTGCGTTCTCACATCAGCTCACTCTGACTTTCTGCAGATTAAATACGAGGAGGCTGGAGGAGAAAATCCAGGGGAAGTCGGAGTGAAAAATATGTAGTCTGTGTTTACCTATGCAGCTCATCCTGCTAATATCTTTATATTTAAAGAGTTTTCTGTGAAAAAAGTAATCATGCACACTGAAATATCAACGCTTTATGAGCCGCCTCGGTTTGTCCGCAAAAAAACATTGAATTATATCCACACCGAATACATGCACTAATTAAATACTGTCATGTTCTCAATGAGACTCTGCTTGATCAGAACGGATCACAGATCACCACTATGTTCCCAAGTCTCAAAAACAAATGTGTGTGTGTGTGTGTGTGTGTGTGTGTGTGTGTGTGTGTGTGTGTGTGTGTGTGTGTGTGTGTGTGTGTGTGTGTGTGTGTGTGTGTGTGTGTGTGTGTGTGTGTGTGTGTGTGTGTGTTGTTTGTTTGTGTGTGTGTGTGTGTGCTGACCTGTTTAACTTGCAGCCCGTGGCTCCAGATTCTCTCCAGCAGGTCACACAGGCTGGCGATCAGAGTGTTCTCCTCCAGCCCCGTGATGTTTGCTTCACCATGTCCGAGCTCCACCGCCTCCCGGCCCATCTTCGCCACCAGCATCCGCTTTGTCTGAACACACACGCGCACACACACACACACACACACACACACACACACAATGTGAGAACAATCAACAGGACCCTTTAATGATACACAAACACACAGGATTTGAAGGGCGGGTGACCGGCCTCGAGTAAAGATGATCAGCTGATTTTGTTCTGATGAATCTCAGGTTGTTTGAAAGTATTTTTTGTCATGTTGTGGTCGTTGTGTTTCACCTTCACGCGACACTCCTTGAGCAGCCCCTCCACAAACTTCCAGTTGGTCTGAGCGATGACGGCGGGGGACAGATCGGACAGTTTGGGCTGCCTCAGGTTCTTCTGCAGGCTGCGGGCCTCCTGCATGTACTTCTGAGGATCAGACAGAAGAAAACATCCTCTCTGATCAAAACCACAGCAATAATCAGATTGTGTCTGACGGATGCTAAACTTTATAAACACACCTGTGGTACAGTTTAAGAGCTTTGGTTATGTCATGACAAGACAAGATACACGTTTGTTTTGTATGTGTGTGTGAGAAGCTATGAAAATCAAACACTACAGCGGAGTAGATTTCTGCGTCTTACCAGGGGAGGAGGTGACACAGGAAAGGAGTGAACAGCAGGAGCTAAAGAGTTAGTGTGTGTGTCGGGAGGTGGTTAATTTACACTTTCAGCCCTCAAAACAGGTTGGACTCAAGCAGCTACCTCTGCAGCTGAAAAAAATACAGTCAACATGAAAATGCCAAAAAAAAGTGCAGTTCCTCCAGTGTCCACTAGAGTCTGTCTCCTGCAGTGAGTCAGTCCCCATAGAGCCCCATGTTAAAATGTCCATCTTTACAGCAGAAATAAAAATGTTTACAGCCTGGTACAAAAACAGATTGGGTCTCATTTCTCTCTTCATGACGACTGTAGGGGCTGTTTATACAATTAACCTGTTTACATTATATTAAGGCTTAAAGTGATGTAGAATTAGGGGGCGTGGCCTCTTTGAGTGACAGGTGGGAGCTGCTAGGTGTCACCTCAGCTCGCTGAGCTTTAACTTCTGGGCCATGTTTTTGCTGTTGTGGAGATTTGTTCATGTAAATATCAGACTAATAATCTGTGTCTCTGTGAGCTCCACCCTCTCATCCAAATCTGGTGAATTCTGGTTAAAAAAGCAGCGAGGCTTTAAACTGTTGTTCATCTAGTTGTTGTAGTACTTATCCATGTTCTATAGTGGGAACATTGGGTAATAATGCATGGTGTGGAGGTGGGGGTGGGGGTGGAGGTGGTGGGGGTCATCACGACAAAAGCAGCTCCTCCACGTACCAGACAGGACGCAGAGGCAGATTTTTTAGGCGGTTTGATAGGCGGAGGGGACGCTTTGTCCCACTCCCAAAACGCCATGGAGTTCTGCAGGACGAGACAACCCTCCACCTGCTGAGGAGGAGCAGGAGGAGGAGGAGGAGGAGGGGTACCACCAGACCCCATCACAGACCAGAACCAGACAGGAACGAAAGAGAAGAACGGGAAAGAAAACAGAAGACGGGCGCAGCATGCACATGAAGGACGAAAGAAACAAAATAATTGAGGAACAGAACAGAAATATGACGCCACGACATGAACAGAGAGAAATAAAAATGCAAAACATAACAGAAGAGAGGAGGACACATGGCAGGCTGCAGGTCGGGTGTTAGGAGTTTTATTTTTACCTCCTTCAGGTCGTTGTCGAGGGTTAGATGCTCTGATTGCTGTCGGTGTCGGTCGTTCCGTCGCTGAGTCGTCGCCGTCCTGTGAGACCACCTGCAAACATAAAACAGATAGTTTCAACAACTGTCATACCATTTGAAAATGACAGAAAATTGCTTTCTCTCCGACCCCTCTGCCTGAGGCGCCTTGTTGGAAAATAAGCTTTAATCCCAACGTGGTTACACGAGCATGAATCGGTGTAAAAATGAGCCCAGCGAGCCAGATAAGAGAAACATTCTGACTTCATCTTTTGGTTTCAGGAGTATTTCTCAGTCATGACTTGGACCCTGACTCACTTGTTGTTGCTTGGTCCCGTGTTGAGCACGTCGGCCTGCAGCTTGGGGAAGAAGCCCTGCTCGTATTTGCCCTGACCGATCTTCATGTCGAGCAGGTGAGGGTGGATGGCGGTGTGGTCGATCTTCATCAGACGCTGCTCGATGGCCTGAGCTGCAGGAGACACGGGATCAAATCAAGGTTTAAAGTTCAAGGTTTCTTTATTGGTACCAAGAAATGTACATTTGTTGTGCAGACAGGAGATTCAGTGTTCCAATAGCTACATACAACACCGTCTCAATACAAATTCAAGGTTAAAAAGAGCAGACAGAATGCATTAAAGAGGACATATCATCCCCCTTCTCCACCTTTTCAAACAGTCCCCCTGTGGTCTAAATGAAACATCTGTGCTGTGCTTTGGTCAAAATATATCATGAATCAAGCACCAGAGGAGGTTTGTGAGCCTGTATAAACCAGCTCTCTCAGAACGCTCCGTTTTGGTGTGTGTGTCTCTTTAAATGTAATGTGACATCACAAGGAGAGCAAATTTCAAACAGAGCATTTTTCTCTGTGTTGTATGACTTATACAGACCACAAACAAAGGACTGGATGGGTCTAGTTCACATTTTGTGTGGATTTTTCAAGAGTCCTGACACAGAAAATCACTCTAAAGAGTCGACAACGCAGCGATGATTAACAAACTCCATTGCTGCCGATCAGTGATTGGATTTAATTTCACTGATTGTGTGTTCAATTTGAGAAGTTGAGACTCTGAATTTAATTCTCACATGTGAAACCATGTTTTTTCTTACAGAGAGAGTTATGTACTTCAATATGTTCTATTTGGTACCAGAGCACGTGCTGTTTGTTCTCTGAACTTTACCCCGAGAGGACTTCTGAGAAGGACAACAAACATGTTTTTAGACATTTCAGCTACTGAGTGTGCGTGTAGCAATAAGAGCAGGGCAGATGGAGAACACCACCAGTCTAGAGAAGAAAAGCTTCCCTGACAAACAGGACATTATAAATCACAGATGAAATGTTGTTTCATCTTATCTCTTCTCTCTCTCTCCGTCCTGATATCCACAAACACGCTCAGTCTGTTCCCTCGGTGTCCTTCACCTGCAGCAGCACACACACTCTTATCGCCCGTCTGTCTGCGTGTTGTTGAGCTGTCTGAGGTTGCGTTGCCTCGCTCTAACATTGAACTTGTTTGTTTTTTTTATCTGACAGGAGCTGCAGCGTTGATCGCAGCTCTGCGGTGAGCGGAGGCACCGGAGCGAGACGCCAGACGGGCAGGCGGAGGGAAACGCTGCCTTTTGTCTGAGTGATTGTGTACCTGAATGCACCATCGCACACAAATGATCTCACCTTCAGCAATTAGAGCTTTACATCGGTGGAGCAGGAGAGCGAAACAACGAGGGTCAAGAGGAGATGACATGCTCGAGTAAAAAGAGAGGAGCTGGCAGCTGAAACGACAATCCTGATAAGTTTCAGAGAAGACGGAAAATAAAGATCTTAGCTGTGAAATGCTGCAAAACTGACGACAACAGAGTCAGACTTCAGTCGAAGTCAGTCGATTCAGACTGTAACTGTTCACATCTGGATCAGTTTGAAGAATCACAGCACGTCTGAAATATATCCATCCAAAATGATCTATACAGCTGTTTCACCTTCAATCCAAAAGTTGATTTCAAAATCTCTCCTTTCATGCCCACCAAACTCCATTAACAAAATCTGTGATTTAAAGGTCACATAAAAATCCACTTCACCATGTTTCTCCAACACTAATATGTGTCCCTAGTCTGTCTACAAATCCCCCATATTATAAGAAAAGTCCATCCTCTCCATCTTCTGCCTGCTCCACTTTTCAGAAAATGTGTGCTCAAACAGGCAGTTTGGAGATTTTCCCTTCATGACATCACAAAGAGCAGTAACCCCTCCCCCAGGTGGGTGACACTCCCACAGCTTGGTGTTTGTTCTGCCCTCTGAGTCTGCCTTCTCAGCAAGAAAGCCCGAGCCTCCCAAGCCCTTCCAGAGAGGGGGCGTGGTCAGACACAGCTCATTTACATTTAAAGCTACAGACACAGAAACAGCCTGTTCTGAGCAGGGCTGAAATAGCAGAATTAATATGGTGAATTCATCCCACCGGTATCACTCTTCTCAGATCTTCTTGTGTTAGAGAGAAACCAGGACACACTTTTTTATTTTTCCTTATTTTTTATACATTTCCTCTGCTCGTTTCCTGTTTGACAAATATCCTTACACCACAAACCAACACATGCTAGATCCCCCGTCAGCCTCCAACAGTCTGAGTCAGTCCTGAGTCTGACCTCCAGCCTCACTCTGCACATTCAGCACCAATTAAAGGCTTAACCAAGGGAAAGTCAAGCAGCACTAATTAAGAAAAATCAGTAGAAGAAGAAAAAAAAAAAAACCCGGCCAAACACTCCAGCAGAGCGAATGTGTTTGTGCTTATTATGTGAGATATAGAGTGATGGAGTGTTTGCTGGGTGGAGAAATGAGAGGAGAGGGTTTCTCTGGTCGCTGGGGAGAGCCCGAGCTGCTTCGCGAGGAGAAATGAAAGACAACAGAGGTCAGGAGGAGGAGGAGGAGGAGGAGGAGGAGTGTTTCTGCCCTCAGCTAATGGACGATGGAGATGCTTTTGAAGGACAGACTGTGACGCACGCTGCTTTGCCGCATATCAAAACCCACTACTATTCAAGAAGCTGCTGGTTTGCAGATATATCACATGAAGAAACCAGGATGTTCAGATAAAAGTAGCTAAATCAGAGGTACTAAATCCATAAAAAGGTCCCCAAGGTTCACTTCTGGGCCCGTTATTGTTTACTAGTTACAGAAATAACCCCCAAAAAAATTTCTAAGCTGATGACAGATTACTGCTCTGCACACATGATGGGTCATGACTTTTAGATATTTGCATTGTCAAAAATGTTTAGATTTGACTTGTATTTCATAGATATATGTGTTTTTGGTCGTTTTGCCAGGGTCTGTAAAATAAAACTGTTATTCTTGGCTGAGTCTCAGTGGGACTTTTAAATACATTTTCAAAAAGTGTCTTAAGCCCTGAATCTGTTGTAATTGAATATAAATCATGTTTTCTGTGTCGTCTCGAACACATCTTAGCCCTCACGTCCCTCCCTTCTCGGCTTACCGGCCTCCTTCAGGACGGAGCACCTCTGGTAGCTGGACGATCGGAGACTCGGAGCGCGGACGTTGTAGAGACGAGCTTTGTCGATGCGGGTGTCGAAGACTCGCAGCAGCGGCTCCTTCTCCTCCCACTGCGACATGATCTTGTTGTCGATGAAGGTGGCGAACATCTGCGTCTCGATGAAGTGGGAGAGGAAGGGCAGGTACGGCTCGGGCTGGTCGGACAGGAAGGAGGCCTGAAGCAAAAAACAAGGATGGAGATATTTTTTACTGTCCAATAAATGTGAGGAACGTCTTTAACTTTTCCCCAGAGCAACAATTACCTGGACAAATGGAAGGGGGTTGGGCTGCTCCAAGTTTCATATTTTTGACATTTGGAAAAACATTAAAGGTCAATGAAGTAATAATCGACTAAAATACACTGATGAGTCAGCTGTTCATGTCTTTAAGTTTGCACAGCTTGTTTCAGACAATCAGCTCTTTCAGTGAGAGCAGCAGAAACACTGAAAGGTGCAACTCCATCCCCACCTGTATCAGAGTCTGCATGAGCGTCAGTGTTTTTAAAAACTAAACTTAAATCATGGCTCAAGCCACACCAGTCATGTGATCACTGATTTGAGCCTTTGAATGGAACCATCTTGGAGAGAATGGTTAATTTGCTATATTGCTAACTCTGGCCCAACAGTTAAACTAGAGTTTGCTAACCCCTTGCTCCTCTCCAACTTCACACCTCTTCACCCTGATGTGACACCTGCAGGGTCTTACCATCGACTGTAAATATGAATGGACGAAGCCTGAATGATTCTTTTTTGCTGCTTGGGCCAAACTAAAGGCTTAAAAAAAGGAATTTCACAACAAAATGAAGTGGATATGTTCACAACTTATGCACAGAATATTCCATAACAGCATGAGAAAGGGAATACAGAATAAGAATAAAATATGTTAATGGCACCAAACACAAGGGCTGGGAATCTTTGGGTGTCTCTCGATTCGATTTAGATTTAGATTCTATGGGTCACGATTCGATTCAGGATCTATATTCGATTCAAAACGATTCTGGATTCAAAGTCTATTTTTGAATTAGTCCATACTTCAGGATCGACTCCAGTCATCTGTGAGACTGGCTGAATTTCCTGCTGCTCCATTTGGCATACAAGAGGGAGGTGACCGATTAGCCAAAAAATAAATCAATTTTTGGAAGTTATGAATCGATTTAAAACCACCTTAAAATCTCGATTTTTACAGAAATCGTTTTTTCCCCCACCTCTACCAAACACACCATGAGTTCTTTGTATTAATTCACAGTATTGGTGAATAAAAGTGCTGAGGCCGGGGAGAAAAGATTAACTGAGTTCAGGATATTGAAGTATTTTAAGCAGCATGTAGGGACGGGCTTCTGTCATCATACCATACGCCATATATCAGACATCAACAAAGGCTGACATATGAGATATATGTCTGCAAAAGGTCAACCTTAGAATATCTTCCAGTCCCAAATAAAGGTCGACCTTTACATATTACATCAATACTGATGCATGTATATGATACAAACTTAAACCTATGCAGCCTGTTTTCAGTACAGACTGTGCAGACGACATTTCTGCAATTCACGAGGGAAATCACTGGATGGATGGAGTATGCAAACAATTCCATTTACAACCTCTGCACCGCGGTGGGTTCAGGTACCCAACATGTCAGAATATATTTGTTTTCCAATTTGACACACGCGCTCGATCCAATTCAGACCTCGCAGAATAAACCAGATAACCAATTCTCTGCTTTTTGTCTCTGCAGCTTCAGCAGAAAAACAAACCAGGAGGGAGAAGACAAAAAAAAAAAACATAAATACAGACCTTATCGAAGTTGTGCATCTGCTCCCTGTTGGTGAGCCAGGACTCGAGGTCAGGCGCGCTCTGGATGACGAAGGCTTCATAGTCGGCGAACATGGTGATGAAGCGGCTGGCGAACACCTCCCTCAGCTGCACGTTCAGCTTGGCGTTCCTCAGCTCCTCCTCTTCAGCTGCAGTTCGGCCCCCCTGCCCCTCGATGCTCTGACTTTTGATCCGCGCCCTCAAGGCGTCCACACGAGCCACCGTCACCCCCGTGCGTTTGGTCAGCGCCTGCAGCCTCTCCAGCGTGGCGTTCCCCTGCAGCAGCTCCAGCACAGCCAGCTCCTCGCCCGCCAGGTTCCCGTTTCGCCCGTCGTCCTCGAGCTGACGGAGAACGGCAGTCCTTCTTTCCCGGCCGGGGGTGGAGGGGGCGCTGCCGGGGGCGCTTCCCGGTGTGCGGGTCCGTGGCGGGGCCCCAGAGATTGCGGAAATACCGAAGCTGAGCAGAACCTCGCTGAGCTCCTGGACGAACTCGGACTCGTTGGGGAAGTGAGGGAAGTCCTCCGGGAGCTCGATGTAGTGGTTGTCAATGTCCACAAAACACAGATTGGCCTAAGAGAGACAAAGATAAAAACACTGAGAAACAGACAACAAACCTTGTAAATAAAATCACTGTGACGCACATTTCAGACAACACAAATCCCAGTATCCTAGGAGAGGCTTTTGAAAACAGAAACATTAGAAAGACGAGTTTGATGATTTAATTTCACTAAATGAGTTACATATCTGTGTATTCATTCTCCATTATTTTAAATGTCCAAGGAAACATGCTATGTTGAAGGGCTGGCTTCTCTGACAACAATGCAGCAGCCAGTATGTCCTCCTTCTAACTTTAGATTCTGCTCCTGAATGCTCTGGATTTGTTTGGACCAGAGACTGTAGGTGGTTTTGAGGCACCCCCCCACATTACATTGGTTCAATGATAGAAGCGTCAGGAGAACCGGTCTGCTTTTCCTCGGACTGGACCCGGCAAGGGGGGCAGGACATTACGTCACTGTGCGTCTCCATTTTCCCAGCAACACTTGCGCCGATCACATCGCTCTACAGGTGTTGCCGCTGGTTTTCCAAACCTTCCTGGAAGTCCGATCTACACTGGTCCAGCGCATTTGTGCTACTCGTCGTTACGGCTGTTAACAGAAATCACGTTCTAGAAGACGAGGCACATTACCTAACACGTTCGCTAATGCTAAGGTTAGCCTTTGTGTTCCTCACTTAAGCCTACATTAACTTAGCTCGTGGACAGGTATGACTCACAGTGAGAATGTAGGTCAGAGTGTGATTGATAAAAACACACAACCTTAATCTGACACAATGGAGTTAGCGTCACACTCTCATAGCGGATTAAAGCTAAGACCTTTGAGAGATTTAAATCACTTATTGACGCACAGATGTGACTCCTCTTCAACTACGAGACAGAACACACCAGAGATGGATTCAGCTTTAAACTCAGGAGGGAGAGACGAGCTGCAGAGTGAAATCTGAAGGTCAGTGTGCAGCTACATTTACAGGAGACTGAAGCTGGTTCTGTATAAATAGAGATCATTAGACTTCAAAAATCAGCTGTTGGTCGGGCCAATCGGCGAAAGTGCAACATACCCACAAAATCGGATCATTCTTATTGAAGCGCTGAGCCTTTTCTTTCAACAAAACAGCCACCAAACAACAAACAAACACGTAGTCGGGACGTTTTAACCGTTTATGGGACTGATGTGAAACTGTTGATTTCATTTTACCCGAGCAAACCCGACCCTCAGGTACATTTCAGAAAACTACTGAACACTGATCTACACCGATTGCAAGGTCGAAAGGAGCAATATGTAACTGGCACCTAGTGTTTAAAATGGGTACTGCAGTCCAAATTCAAAACACTGAAGAGAGCTGAAGTCTAATAACCATGATCACGGCGTCCGACTCGTGCAGAAAATGACTGTGCCTGATATAAGTGCAGCTTCTCAGCCTCTGAAGGATTGTTAGCAGTTCAGTGATTCAGACAGAACTGATGCACACTCAAACATTTCTTTACCCAGAGAAGCTGCCCCGGTTTGGATCTTAAGACTTGTTTAAGCACAAACAGAGAAAAGAGGACGATAAAGTCATCGTGCCTGCAGTGAAAACATCATTCTTGTTATCTTTTGACACGAGGTAAACAGAAGAAGAGAAGCTGGATTGAAGCTCAGGGTTCAAAAAGGCAAATCTTGTCTGGCACTCGTTCCCCAATTACATCCACATCTCCGTCTCTCTGCGGAGCTTCAGGCCACTCTTTCATCATCAGCACATTTCTGGGTCACCTCCACTTCAAAGGATCATTCACAAACGCGAGGGGGAGATTCTGGGGAAGCGGGGGGGGGACTCCGTGTGGGGGGGAGGAGAGGAGGGGAGACAGCAGCAGCAGCAGCATCCTGCGCTGGCTGCGATCATTAGCATCCTCACTGAATTTTCCGGATTAACGAGCGCTAGGAGTCGGGGATGTGAGCAGAGCCGGAAGCTGGCGAGCCGGGATGTTTGGGCTTTGTTAGGGCCTTATCTCACTTTAACACATGAATACACAGAGAGCACACGGAGAGAGAGAGAGAGAGAGAGAGAGAGAGAGAGAGAGGAACACAGCGCTGAGCTAAACACTGCCTTAAACACCTCATAGACTCATTCAGCTCCTCAATGTCACGACTGAAATCACAGAAGAAGAAAGAGACGCAAATACACTTCAGACTCGCGCTGCCTTCAGGTGCATTTGTACACAAACAAAGGGGGATTCCCTGTCTTATTATGTGTAACTCTGTCTGCTGAAGGGGATCCTGGTCGTCTGTGTCTGCAGCTTGTGCATGCTGTCACATACAGAACTGGTTTTCCTATACCTGTGGGATCCTTCCTTTATGTTTTATAAGCCCTCACAGAGTCTTACACCTCTAGATCGTTTGCTCTGGTCTGAATCATCGACCAGTTTGTTTGCTGCATAATCACACGGGACTTTTACAAGCGGACCAGAATGTGTGATGATGTGCGAGGAAAACGCTCTCAGATTTTCTTGTGGTAGAACTCCCTGAAGTAAACAAGGACTAGCTGCCTCCTGATTGGCTGTGGTTGCTCCAATGACACTTTACTCTGCTCATCATGTTTTATATTGTTTGTTTTTAATCACTGAAGGCAAACGATACAGTTCGAAAATAATGTTGATGTTCTGGAGTCTCTGAAGACGCTTATCAAGACGGTTCAGGAGAAGGAGCACGTTAATCCTCCTGCTCACCCCCCCCCCCCAAACAGTGCCTAAAGCTCCCTCCCCCTGAAGCTGCCTGTGGTCTGTAACACATGTTCAGTGATGATGAACAGAGAGGGTCCACGGTGGTTACTTCCTGCAGTTAGGTCGGATCGAGGTCGATTTATGATCTCACTACAAACAAACTGCAGAAGAGTCAGAAAAAGCAGACAGAGACCGTTCTTTTCAAGCGGTCTCTGTACGGTTGTTTGATCCGCACCAGGGTTTGATTGACAGATTTCACACCAGAGCAAGCGAACCGTTCTCACTTGGCAAACGGACTCGAGCTCATTTTAACCGAAACCAAACAGGTGAGGTGTGAAAACGCCTTAAAGAACCTTTCACACGCTTAAGAATTGACAGAAAATTTCAGGACGACCTGCCCCCTGAAATCTTCCTGAGTCGCTCTTTCTCACATGTCCCTCAGAGCGGGAGACTCTTCATGTCTCCTGTCATGTCTCATTAGATGACCTCGGCCCGCTACCAAAGTTACATACTGCAGTAAACAGGCGATCAGGCAGCGCTGTGGACAAGAGAGAGACGCCATTCTCCCTGCTTAAAGTTATTGTGCTATTAAATCAACTTTGAAGCTTCTAAGTTGGAAAGTTAAAGTGGACATTCTGACCTAACCAAACAGATATGAGTATAAATAAAGATTTACCTCCTGAGGCAGCTCCAGTTTGGAGCGGTCCGTCCCCTCTTTGGACTGCAGACCCATCAGGTAGGGGACGGGAGCGTCCAGGAAGTGCAGCAGGGACGCGGGCAGGATGGGGACGTAGACGTGCTGCCACTGGAAGGGAAACAGCAGCGTGGTGATGCCCTCGGCCACCGTCATCAAGCGCTGGTAGTCTGCGAGGAGGAGAGAGGGAAACAAGAGATGAAACATGCAGCGCTGTGCAGAGCCCGAGGCGCTCATTAAAGGTCATAATGACGACCCGAACGTGGCGTTAAAAAGTGATAACAGAGCACTTTGAGACGGTATGAAATCTAATTGAATAAAGGGAAATAAAGCTCCTTGAATCAGAGAGACTACGGAGTCCTGATCCATATTCAGATAATCACAAACAGCTGTTGTTAAACTATCAGTGACGTGATTTTAGTGAATATTTGAGTTATGTAATCAAGATTTCTTTGCACTTTAAAGTCCGTGCGGCGCAGACCGAGGGAGGAGAAAAAACAATATGAGGTTTATGCAATAACATGTGAGAGTATCGATGTGCAATAAAGACAAAAAAAAAATCTGAGGTGGAGTTTTTCGATTACGTGTGTCCGAGTAAATTCCCTCTCCTGCTCTCTAAACAGATTAAAGCCGGCGCTCGGACACGGTTTAATCTGGATCTCTGAAAAACAATAAGAGACGACAGAGTTAAACCAATTTATCCAGTCAGCTGCCCTCTTCTACCAGGCACCCCTCCCCCTCTTAGTCATTACGTTTTACTCCCTATAGATCAGTGAGAGACCTCCTCTCTTTAAAAAGGAACATAAAGCGCGTCTGCACTGAGACTGAAAACGCTTTAAGCTCCGCAGCATCTCAAACCAAACACGGTCAAGATTTATATTCAGCTGGACGACACGCAGCTCCTCCGCTTGTCATGAAGAGGAGCGGGTGAGTGTGCACGCCATGACCTTAGCAGATCGAGACGTTTTCTCAAATGCACCCCTGAAATTGTCCAGAAAATGTCAGAGTTCCCCTCAAGGTGGAGGGCCTCAGAAGGCAGGCAAGACATAGCATAAAGAGGACGCATCGTGACCCGGCTGAGTGTGTGCTACATGTGGTATGGTGTTAAACTAAAAACAAGCATGGTGCGGCGAGGAGCTGCCTAGTCATGATGAGAGGCTGAGAGTGATTGAGAGAGTGAATGGGTTGATTGCCAGATCTTAAGTAACCTACACCTGGGAGACTGGCCAGGTCTGCCCAGGTGTGATGGAACACCGCCCACCAGGGACCTGCAGGGAAACCAACACGCAGACAGAAGGGCAAAGTGCTTTGCTAGCACAGCTGCAGACCCTGCTGAGGGGAGGGCCGTCACAGAGGGAATCAGAACGTACGGGCGAGCAGAAAAGAGTATTTATTCGCTTTATTTTCGAGCATGGAGATAGCACCGGTCGCGCACCAGTGGAATGATCGCTCGCAGCGACTTCTTCTGAATACTTCCTGCTGCACTGACACATCAGCAAACCTTGACTTCTTCTGGAAGTTTTACTTTTGGACCGGACGGGGGAAAAAAAAAGTCTGGGGTAAAGAGTTAACACATTATACACGATAGCCTAACCGGTATCGTGTGAAAATTTCAGGTTTTGATTTAATTCATGCAGAGGGCATAAATGTAAGCTTAACTTCTGCAACACACATTCACATTTTAAGTTTAAAACCTGGACGTTCTAGAGCACCAGGAGCCTAGTGGTTAGTGTGCATGCCCCGTGTACGGAGGCTGAAGTCCTCCACTTGGGCGGCCCGGGTTCGAATCTGCCTGTCCCCCCCCTGTTAAATAAAGGCATAAAAAAGCCCAGAACTAAACCTTTAAAAATTAAAAACTCCATGTTCCCAGAGCAGAAACTCGGCTCATATCAAAGACCTTTACACTCACATTTCTACCTCGTACACTTCAGTACAATGTCAGCATGTCAAAGAGACTGTCTGCAGGTTGAAACAGTTTTCCACACAGGTATGAAGCTCATAAGACAAAAGATAAAGCTGGGTGCAGACTTGAACAGAGGGATTTGTCTGCCCTTCATTCTCCAGCGGGGACAGAAAGAATCCTGTCTGTTTAAACAATAAGAGCACTCATGAAAGAGTGTTTTATCTCCCCTCCAGAGGCTGGAGGAGTTTCTAATTCATGTGTCTGAGAGAAAAAGATAAAGAGCTGAACACAGGAAGAGAAAAAGGAAGCTTTGATTTAAAGTCTCTGCACGGTGAAGGTCAAACTGACTTGTGCTCTTATGTTGTAGAAAACACAGAGATCGCGTTTAAGGTTAATGAATCCATAAAACATCATATGAAAGTAGAGATAAAAAACGACTCCAGATAAGAGAGTGATTCACATTTTCTCTGTAGGTCATGAGAGTCAGCAGAGATGATTACAGGCCATCAGGCTTGTTGTCACAGGCCTCTCTTTGTGTTTCACCACACCTGAAACTTCCCCACAGGATTCACACGATGCAACTTTCTCCTTTAGACACGTTTATCTGTAGCAACATGTTTTACTCACTTGTTGTGATTGCAGGTTTGATCGTGCAAAACCATCTCTAAAAATTAGCAAACACTCACTGAACACCCTGAAAGAGGACTTTAAAGGTCCAATCAGTGAGATGTGTCCTGTTCTGTCCTCCAATGTCCCTTATGAGTTGTACCTTACTACAATGTTGTCATTCATCAATCACTTCAACTTTTTCATCTGTTTTCCAGTTCAGCAACAAACCAAACTCTCATATAATCGGCCTGCAAGAACTTTTTGTTTTACCTGTCGACGCAAGACTTTTAAACATTTCCAGCCTTCTGATTGGCTAACTGTTTCAAGTCATTCCTGCTTTAATTCTTGCTGTATTATTAAATGAAGAGAAATGTTTCACTCATCAGACATCAGGATCTTAAAGAGTGACTAAACCCCCCGACCACTTTTTATGTCAGCTGTAAACCTCTGTATTTGGTTATTAAGTCGTGTTGTTGATCGATTGGGGTCCAAATCTCGACATGCGAGAACAAAGTATTGAATTTCGACATATTGTGTTAGAAACATGCATAGCGTCCCTCTACAGGTTGAAATCGGCTACTGCAACTGAATTTTTTCTGGTCCTTGCTGACGTGGTACATGATGTGGCACAGTGAGTGGAGTCAAGTGGATCGAGAGAAAGACGCGATTGATTATATCGGAGGAACACGCTGCAGCAGCTCAGTTTTCACTTCAACTCTCCTTTCTCCGGAAACGACTCCGTTTCTGCGTTTCAACAGAACGACAGTTTGACAAAGAAAGTAGGTCGGCCTGCAAGGACATCACCATCTGTGTTTCTGTTCTCTCGTCTAAATCTATATTTGTTTTACCTCAAGTTCACACAGGTTCAACACACACACTTAGACCTCTCTGTGGGAAACACAGCGTGCATGGACGCCTGACTGTTGACTCTTTGATGTTACATTAATCTTCACCTGTTCACTCTCCTCATCACCTCGGCTGCCCTCGTTATCACTTCTCTGTAACACGACCATGTAAAAATGCTTCTTCTTTCACACCTCATGAGTTTTTCCTTTTCTCACATCAGAGCTCACTCATCTGAGCCTCGAGGGGGGGGGGGGGGGGAGAGAGACTGTCACGCTGGGCGATTTTATCTTCTCCTCTGAACACTCTTTAACTGAATCATAATTTTTCTTACAAAGTGAGTGCTGCTTTTCGGAAGAAGCTGATTCATCTTTGACGACACTTTCTGCATCGTAGAAGGAAACTCCCTCTGAAATACGACGAGAGTCTGTGAAAGGTGAGCGAGCATTCAGAGAGAAACTAATCTGATATGTGAGAGCGAAACGCTGCAGAGACGAGCATGAAGGAAGCTGAAAAACAGGACAGGACATGTGGAGTCAGTGTGAAACTGTAACACTCCGCATCATGATTGGACGAGACAACGTGCCCGTCACCCTCTTCAGGCTGATAATGGCTCTATCTGTCCGGGTGTAATAACTCGTTGATTGATCCCGGGCAGCGTAGGAAACATATGTCAGGTCAGCGTCTCATTAACATCCAGGGGTCGCTCCCTGAACTGAACCCCTCCATCATCCGCCTGAAGCCAAACGGCGCCCTGCGCAGGCTAATTTACCCTCATCACAGAGACATTAGGGCTCGTTTGCAGAGACATGTCACACAGTCAGAGCGCCGGCCGAATGCCAACCATGACAAATGTTGAACACTTGAATGAAACAGGGAGTGAGGTGGGGTTTTTAATCGTTTTCCTTCAGGAGCGATCGCCTCTGACGGTGACAGTGATGAATATAATACTGAGACCTAATTTTCATCAAAGAGTGACGGGAGAGAGGAGGAGGCGTGCCGCGGAGATTCCACTCAATTGTGTCTTAACTTAACCGACATACAATCCATCCATCCACTTTCTTCTGCCAATCCGAGGTCAACCTACAGTTCTGCTTACGTTCAGTTTCCTGGCATCGTTCTGCTTCTGCACAAACTTTTCTCGACCATATTTCCTCCTGCTGTTCACAAGTGATGCATATGTGATGCATGCAAACGCTGTTCCTCATAAAAGGTGTCGGTATTTTCTACCAAAAAAAAAACAACAACCAACTCTTCTTTTGAGACATGAGGGAGGTTACATGGAAGTCAAATCGGAGCAGGGCAAAGAGAAAAACTGCTGCAAGAAAGATGGGGGCGTTTCAACCTCTGTACGTTTGGTGCCATCGAGTCAGAGAGGGAGCTTGTCCTCTATAACTAGAACGGCTCTGTGCCAGTGGATTTATTCCCTGAATTTAAATAAATCTATTTCGGATTAATTCTATTTGGACGCTGACCTCTGTAGTTTGAGTTCAGATATTTGTAGCTGTTCCAGCGTAAAATAATATGAAACACAAACTGTCCTAAAGCCCCATTTTAATCTCCGCCTCTGTCCACTGACAGCGTGAAATCTCTCAGCCACGCTGCTGCGGTACTGTACAGAGAAACGCTCAGCCAATAGGATCGCAGCGTCTACTGTAATCCTCCGGCTCTGACTGAGAGGACAGAGCAGTGAAATCTCTCCTGAGGGAAAAGAGGATCTATGGTGCATTGTAGAAAGAGAAAACAGTTTGAGGGTCTACATTTGAATTCTGCAAGGTGTGGGTAAGGGCTGTCAGGTCACCAGATTTAGATTCTTATGAAGATCAAACAATATCAATACATGTTTCAATAACAGAGAGTCAAACATAGAAGCCCTAGGTACAAAGTTTAATCAAGTTGAATCAAATCGTTTTAAAGTCTTAAAACGATTTGATTCAACATGAAAGTTTGATGCATAAGTTCTAGTGTGTAGAAACGATTATGATATTTGTTATGTTTTTACAATGTCGCATTGAAGGCAGCGAGCAGCGTTGAACTGCTAGTCTAACAACGATGATTTTAAATGTATTTTAAATATGTAAAATAAATCCTTTTTATTAAACTAAGACTTTCACAGCTTCATATTCTGATTTAGACGGATACTTTTTCATACGCTGTACAAAGATCAGAGATTTGACCTGATTCATCGTCTCCACAGGGACAGGCCCTCGCGTGTGCACGCCGCAGGATACTGTAGATACAGACGTTAGCGTCGGGCTTAAGTATTGTGTGTACGTGCTAACCTTTGAAATGTGCAGGAAATGTGTATGCTACAGAATGAAACCGAGAAAGAGTGGGACGAAGAAATGTGGAGCAAACGTCGAGCTCAGTGAAAAAATTACTTTTGAGTAGCTTCTCTGTTTGTGCAACCACACAGCGAGCAACACACACACACGCACACGCACACGCACACCCACACGCACACGCACACACACACGCACACACACACACACACAAACGCACACGCACACTCCTGCTGCACAACAGAGCATCACTGCAGCTTTGAATAATGGATGAAGAGAAACCTAGAAGAGGAAAATCTGATCGCTGCGCTTCTCCGTCAGACTCATGAGCAGCTGAAGCTCTGGAGGATCATTTGAGACAATCTGTCTTTGTCTCTGAAAGAAACATGAAGTTATTGTGACGCTTGAGGAAGTTTAATGTGTGTAAATGAACTTTTGATGAGTCAGAAAAGCTCCTCAGACGTTCAGTGTGTCCCTGTGTGTGTGCGTCTGAAGTCTAGCTCTGATCCTGACGGTATTTCAGCTTGCGTTCTTACCCTGTGAGTAGAGCAGGATCTGCATCTCCAGCAGGGTGCAGGTGAACACCTGGACCAGGTTCTCCACCCCCAGGAGGCTGAAGGTCTCGGCGAGGGGGAAGTCGGCGAGGGGCAGCTCCCCCGGCCCGGGTCTCTGACACACGATGGGCTCGTACACGCCGTGGAACTTGAGCGAGCGTCCCGGAGCGGGCAGCGGCACCTCGTACAGGATGTTGTGGACGTAGCTCTCCAGAGGCAGCGGAGGGGCGGAGCTGTCGGTGACGGCTCGGTGCATCTGGGACAGGAAACGGCGGGAGGCGTGCATGAAGGGCATGGGCGTGATCAGACACAGAGCTTTAGACACGTAGAGAGTGTCCCGTGATGAGTCATAACCACCCGGCCTGCGCGACGAGGAGGACGACGCGGGGGAGTCGGCCTCGTCTAAACTGCTGGCCAGAGAGTCCATGCTCGACGAGGAGGAGGAGGAGGAGGAGGAGGAGGAAGAGGAGGGAGGGTTGGAGGAGGTGTTTTCTGCGTTGTGCATCTGGTAGAGCGTCTGCATGGCAGAGCAGATCTGCGGGCTCGTCACCTCCTCGTAGAAGGTGTGGACGAAGCCGTAGGTCCGAGAGCCGTCCTCCTTGGTGATGATGAAGGAGTGAAACTGGGTCTCCCGCGGCTCGGCCTGCGTCCTGAACGACAGGCCTTTAGGCATACACAGCTGAGTGAGGAGAGAGAGAGAACAGGAGTCAAACAGCTGCAAAGAAAACTTTTGCACATTTCCAAATTCTACAAATTGGGGTATTCATCTTTTTAGTGCTTTAATGTTCAACAACTTCAGGGTAGTTTCACTAAAGGATTTTGCAGCTTTTGCCGCGACTATAGCTGTGCAAAAGCAACAAAAATAACCAACTTATTGTAAACACCTTGCAGAAGATTCAATGAGCCTTTAAAGTGTGCTGCTCTTGCTGAAGGGAGGGAGGCTGCGTTACAGACGGTGAAGCTGGAGTTATGATAAACTATTAAACGAGCTGCTCCGTCCGAGGATAGAAAGAAGGTCCGGCAGGATGAGAGGGCGGCTGCACAAAGAGGAGACGCAGCCTCTGTCCATGCAAAACAAGAGCGAATGGCACTGAGCTGCAGAACTTAATGCCGATGTCTTCGCTCGAATATCATCAGCATAATCAGAAGGGGCAGATCGGAGAGGCAGGTGATGCACAAGTCAAGGTGCCATCAGTGGCCACAATCCATTGTTTTTAATCTGCCCCTGAGAGTCATAACAAAGAAACCCACATGTGAATACATATCTCATCAGTTGTTCATGTCTTAGAGGAAAAGGAAACCAAAAGGAATACGTGTTGGGTTGTTTTTGGATGTTTTTACAGCCGATCTTTGATCCACAGCCTCATAAATCGTCGATATGAAGAGTCAGTCTGCAGCAGGAGCAGTCTGCAATAAATCTGACTGATTAGCCTCATTATGTTTCTGTGGCTGCAGAGCGAGGAGCTGCGCCAACACACATAAACACACTCGAGTGTGTCGGTGCACACGGCTCTGCACACACACACACACACACGTACATCAGCTGCATATGTATGAGCTCAGGAGTCTGCAGACATGAACAAAAACATACATTTACATTAATGTGTCTGGTTTCACAAACATTCTTGCATGTGTTTCCCATTTATGTTCATTTTGTCTTTACAAAGAACAAATAAAACACACACACGCAGCCCTGGTGACCTGATTAGATTACGCATTAGTCGTGTGTCTCACTGATCACTGCTGATGGCTCATCTCTCCTCCACATCTCGCCTTTGTGTCACATTATTTATTCAGTTTTGTCTCCTAGTGAACAAATACATTTCACATGTTTCAGCTGAGCCGAGGAATGTAATCAAATCAAACACAGCTGTGAGAAAAAGGCTGCAGCTCTGACACAAGGCAGAGAGGAAATTTGGCAAAGCATCATGTTGAGTAAGCATAAACGCGACGGCTGCAGAACGAGCTGAGCAGTGTTCAGAATCACAGCGTTGCTCTAAAGATAGACAACAACGTGACGGTCCAGGTGTGATACAGCAACAAATGCAGGTTTCACCTCCACGGTGCAGGAGAAGAGGAAGAAAGGGTGACCTTATTCAGCCGTTGCACGTTTTGTGTGTTGGGAAACGAGGGCAAATTAAAGCAGGGTAAAGCATATGCCTTACAGTGCAGGAAACAGTAAGAAGCATCGTCTTTTGGTAGATATGCTGGAACAAAGGGGAAGAGGAGAGCTGAAGTTTTGGACCTCAAATGAGGTTGAGCAGGGTATGGTGGGTAAAGGTCCAAAAGTCTCAAAATAATCAATAAATATCAAAAACACTCACTGATTTCTGTTTAATTTCTGAATATATAAGAGAACCAATGTGGTCTAAGTACTGACCCCTGTGGAACGCCACATTTAATCACAGAACATGATGTTAGCTGGATGGTATGTGTGTGTTGGCCTGAGTGAAAATAAAACATTTTGTTACATTAGCTCAAAAATTTCCAACAGTTATCAAAGCCAGAGAAATCTGTAATTTTATAGTTTTCTCACGGGATGTGTCTTGAACGAACCTCATCATACCTCAGAATATCCAATTTTCAGCAATACAATAACAGTGTGTGTGTGTGTGCGTGTGTGTGTGTGTGTGTGTGTGTGTGTGTGTGTGTGTGTGTGTGTCGATGGGGTGATGGGATGTGAAAACAATCACTACAGGAGCTTTACTGACAGACTTGCAGGTGCAGGAGGTGTGATTACACTCTATCCTCCTCCGGTGTTGAATCGAAGCAGGAGGGAGGAGGAGGAAAGAAGAGAAGGCACAGGGATACGGATAGATGAGGAGGTTAGAGGAAGAAAATAAGGAGGAGGAGGAGGAGAAAAAGGGAGAGTAGGAAAGTGGAGGAAGAGAAAGAGAAAGAGGTGGTAGACAAAGGAGAAGAAAAGTGGACGAGGAGAAGGACAGAGGAGTAGAAAAGAGGATAAGGACGAGGAGAAGGAGTAGTAATGAAGAGGAGAATGAAAGAAAAGGAGTAGAAAAGAGAAGGGGAGACAGAGGAGTTGGAAGGAAGAGGGGGATCAAAAGAAAAGGGAGACAAAGGAGGAGGATGAGCAATGATAAAGGTGAGGAGTAGATGGTGGAAAAAAAGAGGAAGAAAGAAGATGAGGAGAAGGAGCTTGTGGAGGTCACATGACTCTGAAAAACGACGACGCGGCCGTCTTCCTCGACATCTCGTAATCAGCCGGGTGTCGGGTTTCAGCTGCTGCACTGAGGCCCGTTTCCATGCCAACGTAAGGTGAGAACCAAATCTGAATTATTCAACAGAGCTGACGCTGGGGCAGGTGGAAAAAAAAATAAGTGATGACCTTCCATCATGACAAATGCAAACACCTAACACACACACACACACACACACACACACACACACACACACACACACACACACACACACACACACACACACACACACACACACACACACACACGAAGAATTCCCTCCTGTTGTTTCCATCAGGCTCAGACAGAACTGACAGTTTAACACCTTCATATCAAACATTCCCTAACAAATTCAAGGACTTTTCAATAACTTTCAAGCACCGTCTCCCATTCTGCACCTTTATTTCCCGCATCCCTGGGATAATGCATAGGTAGGCTAAATTTATTTATTTTATGAAAATAAAAATGCCCCCAATGCGGTTTTTAACAGCCCCCCGAGTCATTAAATCCTGGTGCCTGGCCTGTATGAAAAGCTCGCTGTGTAACTCCACAGAGATAGGAGAGGATTTACTATCACTCCGTCACCCAAGATCCTTAAAAACGCCCTGTGTGTCTCAATCCAGGAACACTGAGATCAAAGAGTGCCTCCTCCTTAAAGTGCTGGTTAGAATAATCCTGTTCTGATCCCGCAGCTCGCTTCCTGCTTTCGAGGAAGGTTTACTCTGTAATCAATTCTATTCATTTTTCTGCATCGAAAGGGTTCAAATCCACCCACCATGTTGACGGCATCCTGGTCGAACGGGTTCCACTCCACGTTCTCAGGGTATCGGGCCAGAACTTTGGACTTGAAGGTCCTCCTCAGCGGGCTCTGCTCCAAGTTTTCACCTGAACAGACAAGAAGACAGAAAAGGAGGGTGAAGCAGCAGAGATAAAAAAACAGGTTACTAACTCCAACGTAAAACGGTTATTATTACATCTTCAAAAATTAGTCCATCACTGCATAATTTCAGTAAACCGGCAAAATCAAGAATAACGACCATATTTAGATTGATTGGTTATTTTTTGCAGATGTTCTCTCTTTGCATGAGTACTTTAATTCTGAATCCATTCACACAATCACTTCATTTACACCCAGAGGGACTCTTAAAAAAAGTCCCAAAAGACTCCTGCAGCTCCGTAACGACCCTCTGCGGGCTGTTAAATCTCAAACACATTTTCATTTCCACTCACTGTAAAGGTTTGAGATGCAGCAGCATTGATTTCAGACGAGGGACTGGGCTCTGTAACTGGGAGTGCTGGTGTATCGATGGCGGACCGTTTGGGTATTTTCATGATTACAGAGAGGTCAGGAGGTCACTAAGGAGGAGCGCAGGATAAAGGAGGAGGAGCGGGCTGATTGTTTTGAACCTTTAATCATTGATTATTAGCGGCTTGGACTCCTCGAGGGATCAATAAAAGATGTGATGAAGAATATGGCTACTATAATGATTTAACTGCAACTACAGGAGCCTTAATCACCCCCTTTCAAGAATATTTGATCGCACACATCCTAAACACGCACACTGGATCCGCCTTTTGTTTATTTCTTTTTCTTAACTGTGATGAACAGAAGGTGAAAGGATGAAGAGGGGAAGAAAAGTTAAAGAGACGAGAGGAAGAAGCTCTCGATCCCCTACTTTAATCATTCAAAAACTCCCGTCAGCAAGCAGGGAACACAAACAACAACCTGGAGGAGAGGGGGGGAGAGAGAAAGAGAGAAAGAGAGAGAAAGAGAGAGAGAGAGAGAGAGAGAGAGCGCAAAGGTAAAAATAGTCCACTACCTGTGAGGATGGGGGGATGGGGGGTGGGGGTGGGGGGGGGGGCACTGATTTGGATAACAAGCTCAGAGAAAGTTGACCCAAATACTGAACGGAGGAGAGAGGAAGAGAGGGAGAGATGAGGGCTGAGAAGGACTGAAGGAGGTAATCCAGGTGGAGGTGTTGGAGGAAAAGTGATAAACAGGTGTCTGAAAAACCACAGAGGTGATGTACGCAAATGGAGACACAACTAATGAAGATGTTAATTTATTAAATTCCTCTATGGGCTGAACGATAAATCTCATTTTCACCATTGTTGCAATAACCGGGGCTTTCTCACTCAGCATGTGTGCATTCACCGTGTTGTAAGGAGTCCTGCACGTAATGTTCACGCTTTCACAACATTTAAATGCAGTGAGAAGAAGCAGTGAGATGGAGAAGGATAATGTAATGCTTGTAAGAGGTTGTTACAGGATGTCAGATGGTTAATTTAACCAAGGCATGTCAGTCAGAACCTTACACTGGTTTCGGCAGTCGATTGTTACTTCTAACATCGCCTGGTTTGAACATTATCTCAAACTTAGGTCAGGGTTTATTTTCTACTACACACTAAAATAGATTAAAAGGTTCAAAATAATACGCTTGTGGCCCGTGTCACCTAAGCAACAGACACATAGAAATATAATGTTCATATAAAACAGAATTTAAACAGGGAAAAAAAGCAGATTTTACTCAACGATTGGCGTCTTTATATTAGCATAATGTTCTTTTTACTACTTTAATGCTCGATTGTTATGTGATGAAAACTGCTGCACAGTCTCATTCTGTCGGTTCAAGTTGGGTTCCACTCTCAACTCCCTGTTCAGGTGGGTATGATATCTGCATTTGCTGAGCTCAAAGTTAACGCATCTCCTGGAAAGGGGTTTTAATTCTGCTCCACAAAAAATTCAAACATCTGAATCCCAAGACAAACAAAACATGGGGACTTTAAAAAAATCTTTACTAATCAACCTATCAATTGAAAGTAAGTGAGTCTTAAATGTTGCTATAAAACTTTTTTTCTAATAACTATTTTATTCAATTTTCACTCAGTCCAACACACACATATCATCCAGCTAACATGTTCAGTGATTAAATGTGGCGTTCCACAGGGGTCAGTACTAGGACCAATTTGGTTCTCTTCATTTTTTTTTTTTTTAAATACAAGAAAAGAAGATTTTATTTTTGTTGATTTATGATTAACCCATAACTCGTTATAACGAGAAAAGATCACGCCGTCAGGGTGGTGGCGATGAGGAGGCGTAATACGCTTTCGTAATTTTCGGTAAATGCCTGATGGTATCTTAAGCCATCTTGAATGCATTTCAGATACATGACTTTATATCCGCAAAGCATACTATGTTATGTCAAGGAGGTCAGAGTGTGCTTTCCATCCTAAGAAGCTTAAAGCCTTCAGATGCCTGCGCATGCAAGTCGACAAGCTCATGAGAATACCCTCTATATTACTCCAAAGATGCTAATATTTCCCAAATCAGTATCCCTTGTCATCGTTGGCTTTTGATCTTCCTCCCACCTCTGCCTGCTGCAATGCAAAATGCACAAAGCCTCTCGTATCTTTTTAGTCTTTATAATGTGATCTTTTCACAATATAACAAGATCTTTATTTCGTAAAACCATAAACCAGGCAAAACAATTTTTCCCCATATGAATGGAACTTGCCTCCGTAGGTCATATCATTGTCAGAAGATATTGGAAAAAAAACAGGAAGATAAGTGCTCACAAACTCCGACCTGATACTGTTGTTATTTAACTTATTTGCATGCAAACTTTCTAACTAGAGGGATGATTTCAAACACATTCTGACCTTTAGGGAAGAAATTCTTGCCTCAAATTGTCAACAAAAATGTGTTGAGTGTGTAAAATATGTGATTACACAGTTTGTGTCTGAGGTGATTATGTGAAATCCAATCTTTTCTCCCTGCAGTTGAATCCCTTTGAATCTGTAAATCTGAAAGTCTGACGTCATATTAGATTCACGTAGCTCACACGATGTAACAGGAGCAAGCAGAGTGAGGAGGAGCAAGCGTGCATGCAGACAATGTGAGGCGGTGCTTTGTGTTATGAAGGGTGAGAAACAGTTGATGGGGTTGTACTGTACCTGTGGCTGCAGCATCGGGGTCCGTGCCTTGGCGGTCTGCTTCTAACCACTGGTACAAAGCTACGGACGAGCCGCATGCAGAAAAACATGAAGCAAAAAACAGAAAAACAAAGGGGGCAATGTCAAAACAAATGCACAGAAAAGCAAATTAATAAATGCATGACAATGAGTGGAGCATGAACATGACACAACACAATAAATCAGAATCCCACAGACCATCACAAGGACTTTAAATGGATTATTAGCACTCTGAAACAGCACTTTATTTCCCTCTGCTGCTCTCATGTAGACTGCTAGATACGAATTGGGTGACATCGTCTGCAAAGACTGACATTCCTTCTGTCTCTTTAAAGACTTTGTAAGGAGGATTTGGTCTTAACAGAAGTGCACAACTTGGGATAAATACTTCTATGGATGTCAGTGGATGAAGGAGCTGTGAGTGAGTTAGATTAGTTGCTTGTTTTTTGGTGTTAATAAGAGTCAAACCAAACAGCAGTCAAATTCGCTTCAAGGAGCAGAAAAGCGCTGACTCAGTGTTTAGATCTTAGTCACACTCTTCAAAGAAAATAGAGACAACAGTTTGCATCTGAGGAAGTGAATGTGACAGGATTTGTTCTACTTAGTGTCACAGATAAGATGACGCCTGCAAACAGTCTCAACTGTGAAAACAAAATAAAAAAATATTTTACAGTCACAGATTTTCACCTCAGATTCTTGAAGAGACCAAAAGCATTACAAAAAAAATGCTAAATTGAAGTTAAATTTGATCAATAAATCAAACATTTTAATTTGCTGCATGGGTCAGGCTTTGTGTTATACAAATGCGTCGCCTTAGGGAACAAGCCACAATAACCCTGATGACATCATTATGACATCATCAGGATTATTTTCTCAGACTTGAAGAAGCTTCTCCAGAAGCAAATAAAAACATTTTTAATTACAGAAGGAGTAGCCCTGTGGGATTTCTGAAGTCCCCTGTGTGTCTACATTAGAGCAGAACAATCAGTTGATTTGGGTCCTCACACACACACAGTAGGCTAATCCCTGTGAGAGAACGTCTGCTCTTGTGACTCGAGTCAGCACCAGGCCAGAGATTAGAAAGCTTAATCAGCTCTGGCCTCGATACAAAAGTCCCTCTGAAAAGCAGCAGCACGTTTTACATTGAGAACTCTGCTCCTTGGATATCTTTATCCAGAGAGCCTAAGTACAGTTTACAGGGCAGAGATTAACCCTCAATCCGAGAGGAGTTGGTCACATATAAACCCATTTTCTGAATCCAATGCAATATTGTGCAAAAATGAGCCAAATGACATAGCCACCTAGCCAGTTAGGTAAACACAAATATATTTCAGCAGCTAGTACGGTCATAAAAAGAATGATAAAGATTCATGCTACTGCTCTGTTATAGAGGACACATCCGTGGGTCAGTATTACGTAACTATAGCACATTTATGAAGTGTGCGCTATCTGCAGTGTCCTCGTCTCTCTGTGCATATCTTACATCACTCTACACTTCGTGTCTGGCACACTTTCTTCACTTGTTATCTGAGCTCATGTTCAGGTGCCGCGGTGTGTTTCCTTGCCTGATAAAACAGTTATAAACACTTCACTATCTTCCTGCTGATGTAATTCATTCTACATTTCATTGATCAGACGCCTCTATCCAAAGTGATGAACATCAGAGAGTAAGAACACCACAAGCAAGCGAGGAGGACACAACATCAGAAACTGCAAAACAAACAGCTATAGGACGGAGTCAGTTGCTAACATGAAGTGACCACAGTTAGAGCATTTTTTTTAAATATGATCACAACTGAGACTGTAACGACGCGGATAATTGCACCAGGTGAGGTGGTGCACATGGAGAAGAGAAGGGGGCTGAGCACTAATCCTTGAGGCATCCCTGCGGATTGATTCTAAGTGTAAATGTTTAATTTATGGTCACAACCCACGAGTGGGTGGGCTGCAAACTGTGGATGTTTTAGTAATTTTTGTGAAGCCAACAACGACCCTCTTCCTACACATACATCTACCTTTGCAGCTTGGCGGATGCAACAGGTCCATACTGCGCGGATACGATGATTTCTTAAGCGGAAGAAGCCGTTTAGAATTTTGTCATATAGCAGTTCACTTGCTTGTTTGAGCCAGGTTGCGTTCACGTCCCTTGAGGACTGTACTCGAGTACAAATGAAAAATGACCAAGGCCAGAACTTCAGACTGACTCATGAATCAGTCTGCAAGACGGTATGTTTGTTTAAACACTGATCAAATGAGCTGGATGTTGGGGTTAAGTGTACTCAGATCAGGGCACGGATCCCTAGTGTGAAACCAACCTAAATGCAAACAAGCCTTTGGCTCTGTCTAATGCTACGGCTGCAGAACAGCATCAGAGACACAGGAGTGTTTGCATGATATTGGCTTTATTTTGTGGTTTTAATAATTTTGTATATACGTGAAGAAGAAAATTTGGCAGCATTAGAAGAAGACTCTTGTACCAGATTGAGTATCAGTTTCAAGCTGCACCTGATCCGGCTTCATTTGAATTTCTCACTTACAAAGTTCTCAGTTTCTCATCTTGTTTTGATTTAAATCAAAATGTGATATTTTGACAAAAGACTGGAACATGCTCAGCTTCTTAGTTTTTGTATTTTACAGAGAAAGTTATTCTGGGAACTTCCCTGATCATTGACGTCATCCTGTCCCTGATATATGTGTCGCGGTGGTTTAGTCAAAAGATTCCATTTGATCACACAGCACAGGAGAGGTGATTGTTTTTTCTGACGCCTGAATAGACAGAGAGCACTCGCAGTCATTCTGTGAAAATGAGGCGTGACTCGGTTAAAATGTATCAAGAATCAGGAGTGAAAGGGAAAATTCAGCTGCTGTCTGGGAGGAATTGTGTCTTACACCTCTGCACTGCACGGCTCTTTGTCCGTTCACTCTTATCTGCAGAGTTCATTCATTTCTAAACGTTAACTCAAAGACAATCACTGTGAAAATATTCAATCCCTGCTTTAAATGAGGTCAAACACACTCAGAAAACATTGAGCTGACAATTGAAGCAGAGGTGAGTCTTTAACAATCTTTAAATCAATGAGTGGTTTTATTCAGCACAAAGCTCAGATGGATCATTATCGATGCTTCTGACATTTAAATGTCACATATGTTGCTCTTGCGTTCCTCCAGCGCTGTCCTGGTAATCCATTTTACTCTTTGCACACTTATTAATGTAGTTTCAGTGAAAATGAGAATTATAGTTCTACCAAGAAGCTGCTCTAAACTACCCCAAATATTTCTAATGACAAGTTGGGTGTGTTAAAGCCATAGAGTTATAAAACATTCAACAAGCTCCTGATACACAGCAAACCACCAAGTGTGAATTAATCAGGCATTTTGATAACCAAATAAAATACGTGATATATATATGCATTTTCTAAAATGTTGGTTAATTAACCAGGGCTCTCAAACGATTTAAACTTTGAATCAGGATATTTACCTGTGCTCCTTAATGTCTTTGTTTACTCCGATCATTTTTATACTGCGGAGTTATGCAGTGTGTCAGATATGTCATGTTTGTGGCCTTTTCTTTGTTTCTGGTTCATTAAATTCACTCTGACCAACATTTAACACCTGACAGTTTAGTGAAGTCAGACTGACCTGACTTTGACACGTTTGGAGTTTAAACGACCTCTAATCTCTGCAGGTTAATCTGTTTTCTGTCCAAACAAGCGCCAGGGTCAGAGAGAGGAATTAAAGACACACGAGGACTCGGCTTTCTGTCCACAGCAACACCGGTTATCTTTATAAGGGTGTTCATTTCCTTCATCAAACTGAAGGAGGAATAAAACACAATCTGTTCCTCCATACTCGAGCTCCTCCTCCTTCCTGCCCTCTTCTGGATTGACAAGTCTTGTTGCCGCTGGTTACCACAGGACTCACAAAGAAGGCAGCGAGAGGAGCTCTGCCAATAAAAGTAAATTAAAGAGTGTTCGGGGTACGATCGGGTCTCTGAGGACGACGCTCACATTTGCAGAAACTTTCCCCCTTCAGCTTTAGATCAGGAACAATTTCACAACTGTGGAGTTATGATTAAATGATTTTGGAATATTTTGTTATCAGTGATTTTTCCGGAGATTTCTTTTTACACTTTTTGACCGCAGTCTTTCACAAAATCCTCTATCAGACTAAAAACATAACATCTTCCAATAATGCGGCTCCTTCACTTTGCAAACGCTGCATTTCTGCTGACACCCATCAAAATAATGAGGTCATTTCCATCAATAGACACACACACACACTCAGTTCATGCTAACAGGGGAGGGAGGGGGGTGGGGGGTGGGAGGGGGTCGTATATGACACTGAGACTGCACCATTAAAACCTAAAATCACTTAATGCACCTTTAATTACACCTAATCAGGCCCAGGAGGGAGTCTCATGAATGTATATGTGAGTGTAACAAAGCTCACACCCTGCAGGGGAAAATACCCAATTTGAGCACACACACACACACACACACACACACACTGACACACACACACACATTGACGCACGCACACTTAGACAAGTAGAAAAAAAGAAACTAATCATGTGTTGGCTGCAGACTCTGATGCATTATGTATGTGGAGCCTGTTGCCCTGCTGGACCGTCTGATCAGACGCTCTGCTCTACCAGTGTGTGTGTGTGTGTGTGTGTGTGTGTGTGTGTGTGTGTGTGTGTGTGTGTGTTTGAGTGACAGGCTTTGTTCCTTTCTTTACGGCCCTGCAGATTCGCATTACTGAGTGTTTGTCTGACAGAAACCGTCTGCAGCAGCCAGACGTCCGAGAGACGCCAGTGTGAGTGTGTCTACCTGCAGTATGAACGCACAGGCGGTGTGTGTGTGTGTGTGTGTGTGTGTGTGTGTGTGTGTGTGTGTGTGTGTGCTGTGGCAGTTATCATGCACAGTCTCCCGGGGTTTGGGGGGGGGGCTGGTAGTTCTTGCGCTACTTCAAAAGCATCCGTCTGAATATCCTGAATATCTCCTGAATACATTAAATCCCCTTGACGCACAGAGGCAGCCGTG